CAACCTCCACCTCCTGGGTTCAAGCGATTCTCTTGCCTCAGCCTCCCGAGTAGCTGGGATTACAGGTGTGCGTCGGCATACCCAGCTAATTTTTGTATTTTTAGTAAAGATGGGATTTCACCATGTTGGCCAGGCTGGTCTCGAACTCCTTGAACCTCAAGTTATCTGCCCGCCTCAGCCTCCCAAAGTGCTGGGATTACAGGTGTGAGCCACCTTGCCCACCTAATTTTGCTTTCAATAGTCATACATATTTTTAAACGTAAGGGGATAAAAACGGTCTGTTACATTTACCCATATATTTGCCATTCCTGTTGCTTTATCTTCATTGTTAAAATTTCAACTTTCACTCTGATAAAATTTCTTTTCTGCTTGAATAACTTCATTAGCGTTTCATTTAGAGCATGTCTTTGAGTGATAAATTCTTAGTTTTCTCCATATGAGAACGTTTCAATTTTACCTTCTTTTTTTTTTTTTGAGACCAGAGTTTCACTCTTGATCCCCCAGGCTGAGTGGCAATGGCGGATCTCTGGGCTCACTACAACTTCTGCCTCCCGGTGCACAGTAATCTCTGTCTTCAAGAGCCTCCCAAAGTAGCGTGGGAGTTACGCAGGGGAGGGCGCCACACACCGCAGCATATTTTTTGTATTTTTTGAGTAGGGGTAGAGATGAAGTTGTGGGTGGAATAGGCTGGCCAAAGCCCTGGCCTCGAGTAATCGTGGCTGGCCTCGCCTTCCCATAAAGTGCTGGGATTGTAGGCGTGAGTACCATGTTGCACTGTCGCAGTAAATTTCTGTTCATTATAAATTACCCAGTCTATGAGATTTTGTGATAGCAGCACGATACAAACTGAGACAATGGCAAAGGGGCTTTTTTTCAGCTAAGAATCTTGAGAAGGGGAGATTATTGTGAATCACTCAAGTGGGCTCTTAATGTAATCACAATGTGTCTTGTGATTGATGTATGTTGTTCAAACTTCACTGCACTTCTTGAATCTGTAAATATATGTCTCTCACCAAATTTGGGAAGTTTTAGGTCATTATTTCTTCAGATATTTTTTTCTGTACCAGTCTCTTTTTCTTTTTATAAGATTTCAATGACACGAATATTCGACTTTTAAATGGTGTCCTATAAGTCTCTGAAGCTCTGTTAATTTTTTTCTAATTTCTTAGTTCTTCAAATTGTATAATTTTTATTGATTCATCTGCAAGTTCATGAACTTTTCTCTCTGTAATCTCCATTTTCCTCTTGATCTCATCCAGTGAATTTTTGTTTCAGATATTGTATTTTTCAGTTCTAAAATTTCCATTTGGTTTTTTTAAAAAATAGCTGATTCCTCAGCTGAGAACATGAGAACATCCATCTTTCCACTTCTTTCTTTGTTTCTTTGCTTCTCTCTCTCTCTTTAGTTCTTTTCTGAGACAGAGTCTTGCTCTGTTGCCCGAGGTAGGGTGCAGTGGCATGATCATAGTTTACTGCAGACTCAACCTCCCAGGTTAAAGCTATCCTCCCATCTCAGCCTCTGAATAGCTGGGATCACAGGGGTGTGGCACCATACCCAGCTAATTTTTTAACTTTTTGTAGAGACAGAGTTTCTTTATGTTTCCCAGGTTAATCTTGAACTCCTGGGCTCAAGTGATCTTCCGCCTCAGCCTCGCAAAGTGCTGGGATTACAGGTGTGATCCACCACGCCTGACCTTTCCATTTATTTCTGTTATGTACATCTTTACCTCATGGAGCATGGTTAAAATGTGTACTTAAAGTATTATTATTATTATTTTTAGACAGGGTTGTGCTCTGTTACTCAGGCTAGAGTGCAGTGATGTGATCATAGCTCACTGCAACCTAGAACTCCTGGGCTCAAGTGATCCTCCTGCCTCAGCCCTCAAGTAGCTAGGACAACAGGCATGTGCCACCATGCCCGCTATTTTTTAAAGTCATTTTTTAGAGAATGGATCTCACTATGTTACTCAGACTGGTCTTGAACTCCTGGTCTCAAGGGATCCTCCTGCTTTGGCCTTTCAAAGCGTTGGGATTATGGGTATGAGCCAATGCACCCGGTCGTGTCTTAGAGTTTTAGCTGCCTGTGCTGCTACAGCTGCACAACTGGATCTGGCTTCAGGGTGATGAAATGAGAAAAAAGAGAGAGAGAGAGAAAAAAGAAAAAACAACTAGCGCTTCCTCCATCCCTACACTCACTGGGCCACAGTGCCCTGTGTTAGGTGCTTTTGTTGCTGCCCAAATGCTTCTACTGTGCAGCTCTGCATCTGGAGTCACTCTCAGGACAGAGCTTGGGAGAGGAAAGACACAAAGAAAGAAAGAAACAAGGATCCCACCCATACTTCCCCAACTCACAAGGACCCATTTTCCCAGTCCTCTGACCAGAGAGACAGAGTTTAACTCAGAGATTTTGTTGCCTGTGCCTGCTGCATAGTTCAGCCCTTAGGTCACCTTCGAGTCAAAGCTGGAAGACAATAGAGAAAAAAGAATTCTGGGAAACTCATTCAAATGTTGTTTTTCCAGTGTTGGGAGGTAGTTGCTTTTTGTATTTGTCCAGTGTTTTTAGTTTTAATTGGTGCAAGAGCTAGACTAGAGTGGGCTTGCTCTGTCCTAGCAGGTTGCGTAGACTCTCTTACTAGGGAAATTAGGATTGCTTGTTGTTAATTTCCTTTATCATGAGAAGGAAGTGTCTTTCTATTCTGTATCTGCTGAGTATTTTTCTTTTCACTGATGTGGAATTGTTTAACAAAAGGTTGATATCATATAATTAGAGTGTTTTCTTTTGGGTCGGGGGTGGTTTGAGACGGAGTCTTGCTCTGTAGCCCAGGCTGGAGTGCAGTGGTGTGATCTTGGCTCACTGCAACCTCTGCCTCCCGGGTTCAAGCGATTTGCCTGCCTCCCGAGGAGCTGGGATTACAAGCGTGTGCCGCCATGCCCAGCTAATTTTTGTATTTTCAGTAGAGATGAGGTTTCATCATGTTTGCCAGGCTGGTCTCAAACTCCTGAATTTAGGTGATCTGCCTGCCTTGGCCTCCCAAAGTGCTGGGATTACAGGCGTGAGCCACTGCACCTGGCTGGACAAAGTTATAATTCGATAGAAGAATAAATTCTGGCATAGTAGAGGGACTGTGGTCAACAGTAAGGTATCATAGATTACAAAACAGTCAGAGGAGAGGCTTTTCAATGCTTTCAATGCAAAGAAATGGTAAAATCTGCTGAGTTTTTTGAAAAAATAAAAAATAGACTTTGAAATACCAAATGCCATTGCAACATCTAATGACATATTTATACAAATTTATACAGGTTTCTTTCTTTAATCTTTTAATTTCCAAGTGGTTAGATATTTTGATCATCTTTTTCTAGTTTTATTGGATGATAATTAGAGAACACGATCTAAATGTCTTCTCCTTTTGATAATGTGTTGAGGGATTCTTTTGTGTGTATAGACCAGGAAGATTAATGTTATAAATTTTACTATATGTTTAATGGCTATTTGAAATAAATTTATATTCTCTACTGCATGCAAAGTCATCTATTAGACCAGACTTGTTTATTTATTTATTTATTTTTCTTTTTTGTATATTTTTAAAGTAGAGATGGGTCTCGCCATGTCACCCAGGCTGGTCTTGAACTCCTGGGCTCAAGCAATCCTCCCTCCTCGGCCTCCCAAAGTGCTGGAATTGCAGGTGTGAGCCACCTCACTCAGCCAGACCAAGCTTATTTAACTGTTTTATAGTATCTCATTGTACGATTATTACAAACTTGTTTTATCCATTTTTTTTAATGACTGTTGTTTCCAGCTTCTTGCTATTATTAACAGTGCTGTTATGCACATTCTTACTCTAATATTGTGTTTAGATTTATAGGCATATTTACCATTTTATTTGCTCACCATCCCTTGCATCTCAAACTTTCCTTAAGAAATTATTTTTCTTTTCCCTAAAGGGGAAGGAAAAAACAAAACCTTTAAAGGTATTATTTAGGAGTTTATCCTCTAGGGAGACGCAATTGGTGAAACCATCTATTTTTGTTTATCTCTAAATAAAGCAAATCTGCATTAAATGATAGATTTGCTGGGAACTTGGGGGTTGATGTTTATTTTTGTTCAGCACTTGGAAGGTTTATCCCACTGTCTTCTGCTCTCCACTGTTTCTGTGGGGAAGTTGGCTCTCAGTCTCATTGCCATTCTTTCATTGACAACTCATTTTTTCTCTCTTGTCTTTGTCCCCAGAGCATGCTGTGTATTGTTCACCAGCTGTGAAAGTCTGTCTTCACCTTTTATCTCACCTTCACTTCCTCAATGCTTTGTCCTCCTGTTTCAAAAAGGCCATGACTTCTTGAGGACACTAAGCATGTTTTCTTAAAATTTTATGTTATTTGTAGCAAATGCTTTTCAGATATGTACTTTTCTTCTGAGTGTGATTTTTCCAGGTAAAAGTGAGAGGGGAGACACACTAGGCAAAGGGAAAGGCATGTGCCCAATGATAGAGGAGAGAGAGTCCATGCATGGGGTGAGGTTGGGGGTCTGTGCAGGGCTGGTGATCAGGCCTGGCCTGAAGAGAGGTGCGGTCATGCCAGATATTAAGGGTGACAGGGGAAAGCCTGGAAGACAGATGCAGTGGTCCGAGGGTGGGTGGGTAGTGAGAGCTTGGACAGGCCAGAGAGAAGGCTCTTCTCACTGATCTGACACATTCAAGTGTGGTCAACAAGCTTTGGCCTCAGATATTTTCTCAAACCAGGTTCACAGGCCAAGTGAACATTTCCAGATTTCTGTGAGATGACAGAGAACAGGGAGGTCTGGAGGTGATGGCGAGATGAAAGGAATAGAAGGAGAAAAAGAGAGAGGATAATGAAGAGAGAGACAAGAAAGAAGGAAGAAACCAGGGGAACTAGGGGCCTGGGCAAAGGAGCCTAGAGTCCCCTCCCCTGGAAGCATTGTGGGACTTGTGAAGAATGGCTTACCTGGAGTAGGTAGCTACATTCATGGGTTTCTGACTCTGCAGGGGGGTTTGCAGGCCCTGGGAAATCCTGGCATCCTTCCCCAAAGGCTACGAAATGATCATGGACTATCTGCTCCAGAGGCTGACTCCACACCAGAGATCAAAGGACCAGGAGCCCAGCCACAGAACAGAGATCTCACCACTGATTGTATGGAAAGGCCAGCAGAGGGGTGCTGGGGTGGGGAAGGGGACTCCCTGCTCTCCTGTCCTCAGCTGACTTGGGCTCTTTGGCCTTGACCTTTTAGGTATCAGTGTTTGGTAGAACAGTCTAATGGCAGTCTTGGAGTTGGGTTACAGGGAGGGTTTTCCAGTTGACTTAGCTTTGTTAGGGAGATAGAAGAACTGAATTCCCCAGTTCCTCTTTAACTTTCAAAGATGGTAAGAGACTAAAACAACCACCATGATTAGAAGAGTGCTTTAAAACAGTGACATTCTAGAAATTGCCCTTCATTTTTCTGGCTTACACTAATGTAGTCTTCACTTGCTGTAACAGCATGGGTTTTACTGGGCAAGTCTGTCATGGTGATGGATTGTGGAAAGAGATTTCCTGGTGACGGGACCTATGAGTTGAAGATATGATAATGCCTCACTCTTCTTCTCCCTCCCAGGCCACCAGAGCCATCCATGAGCTCCTGCTGGAACCCAGTCGGCGGATGGAGGTGCAGTCCTTCTTCTCCTCCTTGTTCATGGCCTTGCTGTTCCAGATCTCCTTTTTGGTGGTTGAAGTGGACACTGAAATAAGCCAGGATCAGCAACACATAGCTGAATGTGTGGACCCTATAAGGTACCTTTGGTGTTTGCTAGTGATTATGCTCCAGGGACCATCAGCTTAGCACCTTCGCCTGACTTGGTGTCAGCCTCCTAGGCCTGAATACCCTTTGTACACCCTCCTGCCAGGGCACTTAACATGTTCCCCATGAGTCATTTCAAGAAGTCCCCCAGGACTTTAAAAAAATATATTTTATTATTATTATTCTTTTTAGAGACAGGGTCTTGCTATTTTGCCCAAGCTGGTCTTGAACTCCTGGCTCAAGCCATCCTCTTCTCTCAGCCTCCTGTGTTGCTGGGATTACAGGTGCAAGTCCAGCTATCTGGACTTTTTAGAAAAGACTCTTTCTTTAAACTTGGCCTACTAGGCTGATGCAGAGATTCTGCACCAAAATGAGATCAATACCGTGGATAAAACACACATCTGAGTCCACAGACCTGGATTGCATTCCCCACCCTTCTGCTGGCTCCCTGTGTCACCTTGCAGATGCCACATCTCTCTGGTCTCAGTTGCTTCGCTTGTAAAATATTAGCCTGGGTCTCTGGGGGCTGTCCCACACCAGCAGTTCATGATCCTGAGAAAGTTTTGGGAGTCAGGCAGGTGGCCAGTGAGGGAGAGGAGCACAGGTGGTGAATGACTTCCTATCTGTTTTTGGCCCTTTCTCCAGTTCTACTGTGGAGGCCCTGAAGACCTTGATGAGAAGTTCTGGGTATGAGGACTATGTGTCTTCTATACAGAGACATGGGGGCTGGTGGCTTCTTGTCAATCCTGAAAGACACTATGACGGAGTCACTGTGCTGGCCAGGTGAGCTGCACCTGGGTCCGCGGCTGGAGGGCCGTGCGTTCACTTGGGCCTGCTCCTGCGGCCCAGGCCTTACCTGAACACTGTGCTCTTGTTGGTAGGTCCCTGGTCATCAATAACTGTTGGCACAACCGCCCCCTCTTCAGCTCCATTATCAGATTCCTCCAGGACCCAGACTGCAAGAATCACTTAACGGCCCTTGTGTTCCTGACAGAGGTGACTGGCTCTTGGTGGGAGGGGGGCAGGTGAGGGTGATCCCTCTGTGAGACAGCCACACCCAACAGACGCCTCCTGGAAAGGCCACTGACTCACTGCTAGGAAGGGTTGGGGGAGATGGCTCATGGTTACCTTGAGCCGGGGGCTTTGGTGCCTTCTTGAATCTCACAGCAGTTTGACTCTGCCCTGACTTTACAGAAAAGCACAGCTCTCTCCTTCAACCACCTCAGCCTTGAGCAGCCTTTTAAAATTAATCCTTGCTTAGCGATTGACTCAGTACAATTCAGCCACCTGACAGAAAAAAAAGAAAATAGGAAATTTAGAAAACATGGAAAAGTGTATCAAAAATTATACAACCATTACTAAGCATAATCCCTAGAGGAAACCACATTTATTCAGGTTTTTGCCTATACAGAGGGGTGTGTGTGTGTGTGTGTGTGTGATAGTTGAAATCATTTTCTACTAATATTCTGTATCCTGCTGTATTCAAATATCTGTCTATGTCATTACATGTTCTTTGTAACATACATTTTTAAATTTTGTTTTATTTTTTGAGACAGGGTCTCACTCTCTTGGCCAGGCTGGAGAGCAGTGGTGTAATCATGGCTCACTGCAGCCTCCGTCTCCTGTTCTCAAGTGATTCTCCCACCTCAGCCTTCTGAATAGCGATGCCTACAGGCATGTAGCACCACACTTGGCTAATTAAAAAACAAAATTTAATATAGAGAAGGGGTCTCGCTATACTGCCCAGGTTGGTCTTGAACTCTTGGCTCAAGTGATTCTCCCACCTCAACCTCCCAAAGTGCTGGGATTACAGTTGTGAGCCACCATGCCTGGCCTATAAATGTAAATGTTAATGGTGATTATAATGTTTCATCACAAAGATGATCTATAATTTATTTGACATTCTGTTTCCAATTTTACAAGATTATAAATAACACTTTAATGAACATCTCTGTCAAAAGTTTTTGCCCATATTCCAGATTATTTCCTTAACTATTGAATATAATAAGTGGAACTATTGGTTCAAAAAATATGAATGTCTTCTATAACTTTTAACAATAATGCCAAATTGCTTTCCAGTAGAGCTGTACCAATTTAGATTTCCACCAACAGTATTTGGGAGAATTTCAGAGTTTCTGACCCACTACAGCTTTAAATGGGATCCTTTTAAAATTCAAGCCACCAGATTTTTTTTTTTTTTTTTTTTTTGACAGGGGCTGGACTACTTTTGAACATAACCACAGAGATAGAAGATAATGCATTACTAATACTAGGATGTAAACAGATATTATCCCAGTGTGTCGTCGTGTGCCCTTATGTGGATTATAGGACATTGGTGTCTTGTTGGAAGGTGTCCACTGCTAGAGGCTGACCTGTACATGTTGGTATGGGGTACTGAGATACACATTCAAGGATATATGTCATGTTGGCAGAACTCCTGCTCAGGGTGTAGGAATGAGACATGTAGGATGCAGAACCCTGACTGGAAGGGGATGGCTTAGTCCAGTGGATCTCAATCATTTATGAACGTCATATCTCGGGGAAGCTGTTTAAAATGCAGATTCCTGGGCCCTGTCCCCAGAGACTTGGATTCAGGAAGTCTGGGGTAAGGCCCAGAAGCCTTTTTTGCTGGTGGGGTTTTTTTTTGTTTTGTTTTGTTTTGTTTTGAGGTGGAGTCTCTCTGTCGCCCAGGCTGGAGTGCAGTGGCATGATCTTGGCTCACTGCAACCTTTGCTTCCCAGGTCAAGCAATTCTCCTGCCTCAGCCTCCTGAGCAGCTGGGACTACAGGCACGCATCATCCGCGCCCAGCTAATTTTTGTATTTTAGTTTCACTACATTGGCCAGGCTGGTCTTGAACTCCTGGCCTCAAGGGATCCACCTGCCTTGGCCTCCCCTCTCAAAGTGCTAGGATTACAGGCATGAGCCATTGTGCCCACCCTCCAGAAGTCTTCATTTTCTTTTTTTCTTTTTCTTTTTTCTTTGAGACAGAGTCTTGCTCTGTTGCCCAGGCTGGAGTGCAATGGCACAATCTTGGCTCGCTGCAGCGTCCGCCTCCTGGGTTCAAGTGATTCTCCTGCTTCAGCCTCCCGAGTAGCTGGGACTACAGGCATGCACCACCATGCCCAACTAATTTTTGTATTTTTAATAGAGACAGGGTTTCACCATGTTGTCCAGGCTGGTCTCGAACTCCTGACCTCAGCTGATCCACCTGCCTTGGACTCCCAAAGTGCTGGGATTACAGACATGAGTCACCACATCCAGACGAAGTCTTAATTTTCTAAAAGTACTCCAGTGGTTGCTGTGCCACAGGAAGTGCTTGGACCCAGCTTTGGGAAACAGTACAAGGCACAAGCCTGCGTGGGCTGGAGGCCACCATGAGATAGCTGCCACTCTCTTTAGAGCAGTAATTCTGAACCCTGGCTGCATATCAGTATCCTCCCGGGAGGTTTCCAAAATGCTAATGCCAAGCCCCCACCCCGCCCCTCACTCTCTGTCAAGTTTTTCTATTTGAATCGATTTGGGACAGGGTCTAGGCATCAGTTTGTTTTAGAAGCTCCCAGGTTTAAAGGGATGTTCTAGAAATACAGCTAGGATTGAGAATCACTCTAGAATTTCCCCAAGTGTCTGATACCCAACTGAAACAAAGGGACACACGATAGAGCGTTTGCTCATCTGCCACCCTGATTGGGGTTTCAGGCTGACAACGGGGAGGGGAGGTCAGCGTGCTTGGAAAGAGGCTGGAAGGCACACCCCAGTAGCGAGATGGGTGAACCCCATTCTTAGCAATCAGAGAGAGAAGTAGTAGATTCTAAAGTGGAAAGCCAGTGGGGTTTTAGGTACCAGGTAAGTAAGTAGGTCAAGATCTGTTAAGTGAGAGACCATGGCTAAGAAAGCTTTCTAATATTTCCCAGCCTTTGTCACTCCCTGTTTGTTGCTTCGTTATCTTTATTCATTTCCTTGAGATGATCACAAGTAGAAATATTTAAAAGAGAAAAGGTTGTGTGCTTTTCTTCAGTGTACTCAAGAAACAGCAGAGCTCTGTTATTTTATTTCTCTCTAATTCTGTGAAAAGGGTGTTATTTAGCTCTATTTTGTAGAGAACGAAAGTGAAGTTCAGAGAATTTAAGAAGTTACTTACTCAGCTAGAGAGTAAATTAGGGTGGATCTGCCTGACTGCCAATCAAAGACAGATGAAACTGCTGAGATGTTAATGAAGACTTCTTTGCCATTAGCAACATGTAAACGTACATTCATATGTGCATGCATACATGCATGCTAAAGCAAGTACATATATTTTAAATGTATCTGATTGACTTTTGGCTTTTAAAATGTTATTTTATTATATAAAAGATATTTTCTATCTCACAAGTCATCAAGCAATAAATGTTATTTAAAATAATCTATATACACATATAACACAAACAAGCAAATTAAACCATGGAAACTGATTATTTATTTATTTTTAAAATTTTATTTATTTTATTTTTTGAGATGGAGTTTCACTCTTGTTGCCCAGGTTGGAGTGTAATGGTGCAATCTCAGCTCACTGCAACCTCTGCCTCCCAGGTTCAAGCAATTCTCCTGCCTCAGCCTCCTGAGTAGCTGGGATTACAGGCGCCCACCACCACACTCAGCTGATTTTTTGTACTTTTAGTAAAGATGGGGTTTCACCATTGGCCAGACTGGTCTCAAATGCCTGACCTCAGGTGATCCACCTGCCTCAGCCTCCCAAAGTGTTGGGATTACAGGTGTCAGCCACTATGCCCGGCCTATTTATTTATTTATTTAGTTTTGAGAAGGAGTATCACTCTGTTGCCCATGCTGGAGTGCAGTGGCATGATCTTGGCTCACTGCAACCTCTGCCTTCTGGGTTCAAGTGATTCTCCTGCCTCAGCCTCCTGAGTAGCTGGGATTACAGATGCCTGCCACCACGCCTGGCTAATTTTTGTATTTTTAGTAGAGGCAGGGTTTTGCCATGTTGGCCAGGCTGTTCTTGAACTTTTTCTTCTTTTTTTTTTTTGAGATGGAGTCTTGCTCTGTCACCCAGGCTGGAGTGCAGTGGCTGGATCTCAGCTCACTGCAAGCTCCACCTGCCGGGTTCACGCCATTCTCCTGCCTCAGCTTCCCGAGTAGCTGGGACTACAGGCGCCTGCCACCTCGCCCAGCTAGTTTTTTGTATTTTTTAGTAGAGACGGGGTTTCACCGTGTTAGCCAGGATGGTCTCGATCTCCTGACCTCGTGATCCGCCTATCTCGGCCTCCCAAAGTGCTGGGATTACAGGCTTGAGCCACCGCGCCTGGCCCTGTTCTCGAACTTCTGACCTTAAGTGGTCCGCAAACTGATTTTTTAAATGCAGTCTTTTTTTCTCTTCTACTTTTGCCTTCTCCCCTCCTACTACATTCAGTCTATACCTCCACCTCTTCATCTCCCAAGTGTCTCAAATGCAAGCAACCAAGTATGTATCCTTCTGCATGCTCAAATAATCACACACACATGATAGATGTTGACAGATTGTTTTCCAAAGAAACACTAACAATTCACATTTATCTCAGGGAAGTGTGAGAGAAGGGTTTCTCTCTATCTCTTCTAACAACAAAGCTTAACCCTTTTTAGATGTTTGTCCTCCTGGCAGGTATAAAGCAGGGATGTCCAATCTTTTGGCTTCCCTGGGCCACACTGGAAGAAGAATTGTCTTGGGCCACAGATAAAATACACTAACACTAATGATAGGTGATGAGCTAAAAAAAAAAAAAAAAAAAATCGCAAAAACCTCATAATGTTTTAAGAAAGTTTACAAATTTGTGTTGGACCACATTCAAAGCTGTCCAGGGCTGCGTGGGGCCTTTGGGCTGTGCGTTGGACAGGCTTGGTGTAAAGCAATACCTTATTGCTGCTCTGGTTTGCATCTCCCTGGCTCCTATTGATTTTGAGCATTCTGCATATAATTTTGTGATTTGGATTTGCCCTTCTGTGAATTCCTTCCCATGTCCTTTGCCCATTGTCCTATTGAATTGTTTGGCTTTTTCTTGTCTACAAGACTACTTTAACTCCTGATTTTCCATTTGCACGACTACACATGTTTTTCCATCATAATGTTTTCCATCATGTGCATGCTAGTCTATCCTTAAACAGAGTGCGTGCCAGGCTGGTCTATCCGGGTGAATGTACTGATGTATGTAAGTCTGAGCCAGCCTACCTGTGCAGACTCAAGGTGTCCTTCTGGCATGTTTATTCCAAAGCATGTGCACTTAGAGCAGGAGTTCTCAATGCTGGATGCATATTCATATCTCCAGGAGAACTTACCCTAATACTTGGGGGCCAACTCAGTCCAATTAACTCAGAATCTTGGGGGTGATGTGGGGTCCAAGAATCAGCATTTTTAATAGCTCTGCAGGTGACACTAACATGCATCACTTGTTCGGTATCACCCAGCAGAACCTGGAGTCCCCAGTGCTGTTGAATGATCATTACAAGGATTTCTTCCTTTTTCTTTTTCTTTTTCTTTTTTTTTTTTTTTTTTGAGGCAGAGTTTCACTCTTGTTGCCCAGGCTGGAGAGCAATGACACAATTTCAGCTCACTGCAACCTCCGCCTCCAGGTTGCAAGCGATTCTTCTGCCTCAGCCTCCTGAGTGGCCAGGATTACAGGCATGTGCCACCACACCCGGCTAATCGTGTATTTTTAGTAGAGATGGGGTTTCTCCATGTTGGTCAGGCTGGTCTCGAACTCCCAACCTCAGGTGATCTGTCTGCCTCGGCCTCCCAAAGTGCTGGGATTACAGGCGTGAGCCACCATGTCTGGCCAACAATGATTTCTTAATACTTCTCCTTTCTCCCCCTCCCTTTTAAAAAATTATTATTCTGGGAGACTGTCTTTGACTTTTCTCTTTTGCCTTTTGAGCAGGTCAGTAAATCTGTGTTTTGCAGTGTTCTTCAGGGTCATCCTTTCTCCATTCCCACTACCCTGGCCTAGTCCAGACCCTTATTACCTGTGCTTGAAGCAATTATTTTAACTTTTCTTAGAGACAGCGAGTCTTGCTATGTTGCTCAGGCTGGTCCCCAACTCCTGGCTTTAAATGATTGCCCTGCCTCAACCTCCAGAGTAGTTGGGATTACAGGTGTGAGCCACCATACCCGACTGGAGCAACTCCAAAAGATAACATGCTGGTCTCTTTCCTCCTAGGATCTTCTGTCAACATAACACATTTCCCAGGTCCAACATTCCTTGCCAATGGAATCCTCCTCTGGAGTTGGGTCAGCACCCAGTTGCCCTTCCCTCAACTACATTATGCTTAGCTTATCCCTACATTTCGCCCTTGTTTTGCTATACCTACCTTTTCCCATTAAACACACACATGCTTACGTTCCCCTTCCATCTGCTCATTGAAGTTCTCTTTATTCAAGTTCAGCTCAAGTTCTACCTCTTTCTTTTTCTTTTTTTTTTTTAATTTTTTTTTTGGAGACAAACTTTCGCTGTTGTCCTCCAGGTTGGAGTGCAATGGCATGATCTTGGCTCACTGCAACCTCCGCCTCCTGGATTCCAGCGATTCTCTTGCCTCAGCCTCCTGAGTAGCTGGGATTACAGGTGCCAGCCACCATGCCTGGCTAATTTTTGCATTTTTAGTAGAGATGGGGTTTCACCATGTTGGCCACGCCGGTCTCGAACTCCTGACCTCAGGTGATCCGCCCACCTCGGCCTCCCAAAGTGCTGAGATTACAGGCATGAGCCACCACACCTGGCCAAGTTCTACCTCTTTCATAAACTTTTCCTAGATGAATCAACACCTGTTTATAGGAATTTTTTACTTGCTTTTAATTTATGTAGTATTGTTATTGCCTTGAGATGTTCACTAGGTGATTCATGTACCTAAGTCTTGACTCTCCAGCTGAATTGCTAGGATCTTTGAGGGCAGAGTGCATTTCTTACTTGTATCTCCTACAGTTTTCTTTATCAAAAATGTTTAATGGGGCTGGATGTGGTGACTCACGCCTGTAATCCCAGCACTTTGGGAGGGTAGGTAGGTGGATCACCTGAGGTTAGGAGTTCGAGACCAGCCTGGGCAACATGGTGAAAACCCCTCTCTACTAAAAATACAAAATTAGCCAGGTGTGGTGGCACATGCCTGTGGTCCCAGCTACTTGGGAGGCTGAGGTAGGAGAATCACTTGAACCTGGGAGGTGGAGGTTGCAGTTAGCCGAGATTGTGCCACTGCACTCCAGCCTGGGCGACAGAGTGAGACTCTGTCTGAAAAAAAAAGAAAAAAAAAGTGCTTACGGGGCCAGTTTTGTGGTGGCTCATGACTGTAATCTCAGCACTTTGGGAGGCTAAGGTGGGTGGATCCCCTGAGGTCAGGAGTTCAAGACCAGCCTGGTTAACATTCTGAAACCCCATCTGTACTAAAAAATACAAAAATTAGCTGGGCGTGGTGGCACATCCTGTAGTCCCAGCTACTCAGGAGGCTGAGGCAGGAGAATTGCTTGAACCCGGGAGGCAGAGGTTGCAGTAAGCCGAGATCACACTACTGCACTCCAGCCTGGGTGACACAGCAAGACTCCATCTCAAAAAAAAAAAAAAAATGCTTAAGGAAAACTTGGAGAATGAATAAATGACTTCTGGAATGACAGGTGCAAATTCACCTTTTATGCTTTGGCCTCTCTACCAATTCTAAACTCTTAAGAGTATTTCCCTACTAGTGAGTAGGAACCTAGTCCAAAGTCATCGATGATTTTTTTTCTCCTTGCCCGCCCATCTTTCTTGGCCTCCCTTCCTCAGCTGCTCCAGTGCCCAGATGTGGCAGCCTTAGTGGATGACTTCACCACCCGCATTCTGGCAAACTGGTTCAAGAGTGAGGAGCCAGCCATAGTGAAGCCATTGCTGCAGATGCTAGAGGTCTTTGCGAAGCATGAAAACATGGTAAAATGGGGCAGGGGCTAAGGGTGTGCTCTCAGGCGATGTTGTAACCAGGGGAGGTAACATCTGCTGTGTCCAGTTATAGATAGGGTGGGACACACTCTTGGGATCAAAGAGAGCAAATCCTCATGAGGCCAATGCACCACAGACAGGAGTTGGGGCTTGAGCCATTCACGATTTCTCCCTCCGGGAAAGGTCTCCTGAAGAAGTTTTTTCATGGGTCATTTCAGAGAATAGATGAAGCTAACCCCAGGATCTCACACATGTCATCCAGGTCCCCTGGAGGTTGCTGTCATCATCAGGGATGAGAAGGGCAGTGGCGATGGAAACTTATGGCATGGTGGGAGGAGGGGGCTTCCTCTGTTTTCTCCCCTTTTCTCATGATGGACGCAAGGTACCTCCCCAAATGCTCTCCTGGGCTACTCACTCCGATGGCTCCCCAGATGCTGGGCCAGTCCCAGCTCTGGAATGAAAAAACAGTAGAGTGTGGTTCTCATTTGCGGGGCTGAATTGACTTGAAATGAGAATTCCTTGACTTGGCAGGAGTCATTTCCCCAGCTCCCCGTTCCCTGAGCCACTGTCGCCCGCAGGTGAGGCGGCTCCGAATCCTCCAGCCTTATGTGCTGAACTGCTGCTACTCCTCGAACAGCGACATAGTACTGGAGACTTTGCTGGTGCTGAAGAATCTCCTGAGCCACCTCACCTGGCGGCACTCCTCCTCCTTCCTGATCCAGCTCACCTTCACGCTGGTGCCCTTCTTTGAGGAGGTAAAGGCCCCTCTGGGGTCATTTTCTTTCTCTCGGCATCTGTAAAATAAGGGAGTTGGCCAGGCATGGTGGCTCACGCCTGTAATCCCAGCACATTGGGAGGCTGAGGCAGGAGGATCACATGAGGCCAGGAGCTCAAGATCAACCTGGGCAACATAGTGAGACCCCATTCTAACAACAACAACAAATTAGCTGAGTCTGGTGGTGTGCACTTGTGGCCCCAGTTTCTTGGGAGGCTGAGGCAGGAGGATTGCTTGAGCCCAGCAGGTCAAGGCTGCAGTGAGCTGTGATTGTGGCATGCAATCCAACCTGGGCGACAGAGCGATACCCTGTGTCAAACAAAACAAAACAAAACAAAACCCCTCACAGAGTTGGCAGAATGATTCAAGGCCCTTCACCTTGAATATGGTACTGTTCTGTAGGGACTTGATTGCTCCTGCCCTCCTTGTATCTTTCTGAAGGGGTGAGATGGAGCGAGAGAACAGACCACAGCAGGCGGGGATCAGAGCAGATCATTTGAGGGAGGGAATGGACAGGGGAGTGTGGGGTTGGCGGGGGTGGAGCTCAGGGACCTGATTGCTTCTGCTTCCCCATGCGTGCGTGTCTTCTCTCCCAGGTGTCAGAGCATCTGCGGTTGGCAGCCTTTGAGATCTATGAGAGTCTCTTGGCCAAGGTCAAGAAGAGAGGCCTTGTCTTCCCCTTGAAGCACCAGATCCTCAACTTGCTAGTCCCCCTGGTGCTCCACCTGAGGGACGTAAATACCGACGTGGCTCTGGTGAGAGGCCAGGCCTTGGAGCCTGGTCTTCAGTCCCCGTTTTCATGGGAGGTAAATGCTAAGCATGTTGAGTGCTTAGGCAGGGCTGTGGCAGTACTGGATGGTGCTGAAGGAGTCAACTAGTCTCTGACCTTGCCGAATGACAGACTAGAGATGAACAGACGCTTGCACTAAAGTTTTCTCCAGCTTCTGGCTCCATCTGGTTGGCCACTGACTCCCAGTGGAATACTGTGGGTGTTTCTCCCAGGAGGAAAATCTCATCGACGGGCAGCAGTCCCTCTCTCTGCCTCCCAGCCTGTGGCTCCAGGAGCCCCCTCTCCATGCTGCTTTCTGCATACTCTCTGCCTGTGAATGGAGACAGAGCTCCCTGGGTCGGGAAGACCCTGTGGGAGGCAGTGTGGTGGGCAGAATAGAGAGAGCCTGGAACTGGCCTTCATTCCGGAATGAATGAGTCCAGCTTTGAGCCCAGGAGACCCAGGAACGTGAACTGCAGCTTGAACACTTGAAGACTGGCTGACTTACTCTGTGACAGGACACCTTGTTTCCACAGAGCAGGCCACTCTGCCATCACTGGGGCCTTTTAGGCACATCTGAGTCCGGCTGGGCAAGCGATTGAATGGGGATATTTGTGCGGAGAATCCCACCGGTGAACTCAGCCGTGGTATTCCTGACAGAGCCAGCCCTGATTTAGAACAGTGACCACCCAGTTGGGGGATTAAGATTTTGGGGAAATTTATTTTCAGAGAGACTGTTTTGTGGGGCAGGGAGGGTTGCGGGGGCGGCAGCGTGGGAAGCCATGCGGCTGGTGAATAAGGCTCTGAGCTAAATAGTTCCAGTGCTCTGGGTCTCAGTGTCACACCACAGCAACTGGGAAAATTGTTAGAACTGTCATTTTTAAACTTCTTATTAGGGGGAATAGGGGGTTGTAAGTAGAGCCAACCTGCCTGGACCCCTGCCTTTTTCCTAAGCCCTGGATCCCTGTCGATTCACCAGCGTTTCCATCCCATCGAGGCTGAGTGTGATGCTGCTTGTCTCTGTTCTTTGCACCCCTCCATTTCCCTGCCCAGTCCCACTCCTCAGCTCCTCATGCTGAGCCTCCTTGTCTCCCAGATCTGCCGGTCTGCCCTCTGCCACACAGCTGCCATGCTGGGCTGGTCAAAGCTGAAAGCAGTATTTGCAGAGAAAGATGTGTGGAACATTCTTGGAGCCCTGGTAAGCCAGCAGCTTGCTCACTGTCTGCTCCTATGCAAGGGAGGGTGGCGTCCCCAGCGGTCTAGGTCGTTTTCCTGCAGCTCTGGGGTTTGCAGCAGTAGTGGCAGCGGCAACAGCAACAGTTCAATGATGAGATACTCATTAAGCACCTACTTTGTGATTGGCACCTAGATATAGTTCCTGCCCTCCCCTTGTTTCCTGTCTGAATTGGGGAGCTAGACACACAAGTAGACAATCTCAGCATACTTCGGGAAAGGCAAAGGAGGGGTACCCAGCACAGTCTGGAAGTTGAAGGAAGGCTTCCTGGAGGAGGTGTCATCTTCAGAAGGAGAAATATAAGGCAGGGTAACACTTAGGCAAGGGGAAGGAATCAAGAGTGCAGGCCAAGGTGATGCTGTACATAGGGGTGTGGAGCAGAGCACACATTATCTGGTATGATTTGATCCTTACAACCATCCTGAGAAATAAGGGCAGAAGGGCCTGGTGTGTAGGGAGCTATTAATGTAAGTGCCTTGGAATCATTAGAGCAGGGGCAGAAAAGGCAAATGCTTACAAGGTCATGCAGGAAACACTAACCAGAGATCAGACTGGATGGGCCCGGAGGAGAGATGTAGGCCCCAAGACCCAGCACAGGCAGCCTCCTCAGCATGGCCAGAAACCACACACCATTGTCACAGCACACATCTAGTAACACCGCCTTTACTCTCCTAAAGTGAAATTCATAAATAATATCCTCTACCTTTGCATATTTCCAAAATAAGTCATATAATGCCCTAACTCCAAAGGAGAAGTGAAAGTAATCTACAACAAAATAATCTGTAGGAATATATGGAACACAATATAGCATAACATGATATAATAATAGAATATAAATACTGTATGTAAATGCTTGGGCCAAGTTACTTTTTATTTATTTATTTATTTTTTTGAGACAGAGTCTCACTCTGAAGCCCAGGTTGGAGTGCAGTGGTGCGATCTTGGCTCACTGCAACCTCCGCCTCCCAGGTTCAAGCAATTCTCCTATTTCAGGCTCCCGAGTAGCTGGGATTACAGGCACTTGCCACTGGGCCCAGCTAATTTTTGTATTTTTAGTAGAGACGGGGTTTCTTTTTTCTTTTGTTTTTTCTTTTTTGAGATGGGGTTTCATCATGTTGACCAGGCTGGTCTCAAACTCCTGACCTCAGATGACCTGCCTGCCTCAGCCTCCCAAAGTGCTGGGATTATAGGTGTGAGCCACTGCACCCTGCCAGGGCCCAGTTACTTTAGTAGACAATGATGTACATGAATCCTTGCCCCTCTCCATAGAATCACTGTGAATGGATCTGCTACAAATGCAGAATGATATGGGAGTCACCACAAGAAGGGTCACCACAAGAAGGGTCACCATTGGTGATGGGAATTCCAAAACGATTGTATTAATAGCTCCCCCGACACCAGGAAAGTCTGATTAGACCAGAAAGTCTGATGACTTTCTGAACAAGATGAAGTATAGTCTTTGATGTCTATTGCAGATGCACTCCTAGAAAATCCAGTATGTAGTTGAACTGTGAAAAACTACTCTGTTATCTAAAAGAGCCAACTTCTAGGCATGGATTAGTATAAGTAGGATTTTGGTAGACATAAATGTGTAATGGGATATTAGAAATTGGTGTACCCCCCTCATCATTTTGAAAACCATAAACATCCCCCAGTTCCATAATTCCCTCCACACAGTATAGTCCCCAGTTGAGAACCCATGAATTGTTTCTAGGAGAGAAAGTGACTCAGGGTTGTTAAGAGAAGCAGGAAATCCATGCCGGGTGCGGTGGCTCACACCTGTAATCCCAGCACTTTGAGAAGCCAAGGTGGCCGGATCACCTGGGAACAGGAGTTTGAAACAGCCTGGCCAACATGGGAAAACCTTGACTCTACTAAAAATACAAAAATTAGCCAGGCGAGATGGCGGACGCCTGTAATCCCAGCTACTGGGGAGGCTGAGGCAGGAGAATCGCTTGAACCCAGGAGGCAGAGGTTGCAGTGATCTGAGATCGAGTCACTGCCCTCCAGCGTGGGTGACAGAGCAAGACTCTGATTGGGGTGAAATTTCCCCCATTGATGTTGGCAAATAATTTAAAATGTAAAATACTGCATAGATCAAACAAAAAAAAATATCTTCAGGCTGACTTTTCTCATGGACTGTCAGTGTGCAGTCCGGTCCAGGCAGGAGACACGGAAGCAGGAGGCTGGGCCACAGTGTTCTGTGGAGGTTTGGGCCCAGTGAGGAGCAGGACTTGAGGCTGTAGGCAAGGGGAGTTGTTGAAGCATTTTAAGCAAGTGGGTAGCATGGTTAGAGAGCTGTGCATTTCACACAAATCACCCAAGCTACAGATCAGAGAAATGTTCCCAAGGGATGGAATTGGAGCCTGTGCTGTATAGAGTGTCTGGGGAGAGATGATGAAGTCAAGAAGACAAAGGCATGGGCGGGATTAGCTAGTTGTGGAGATTGATTTGATATGAAGTGTGAAAGTAAAAGTTGCCTCTTGGCTTCTGACATGGGTGAATGCTGGTGTCCTGGACTGAGGTCAGAAATACAGAGGGAGGAACAGGTGTGGAGGGGAAGGTGGTGGCTTGATTTTGTGCATGTTAAGCTTCTAAAATCTGTGAGAACACCACAGGTTTGTGCTTCCATTGGAAGTTAGATATGTATCACTGAAGCTTGGAGAACAGGGCTGTGTTTGGTGAACCCTGAGCATACTGTTGGGTAGTAGATGAAGACTGCAACCCTAAGCCCAGATACGCTCTCCTAAGGAAATTGTGTGGTGGGAGGAGCATATGAGTCAACACTGAGATCCCAGGAGACATCAGTTCCAAGGATCCCACAGAGGAGACTAGAAAGGGAAACCTGGCAGAAAGTCAAAGGAGGACAAGAGAGGAGGGTCATGGTCACCTAGGAAGGACCATGACCAGTTTCAGGAAGCAGTCAAGGGTACAAAAACCCAAGGGTTTCTCGGGTAACTTCAAAAGATGGGAGAGATGAGCAGGCAGGCTAGGCTCAACCTCCCCACCTCCTTCAACCCCAGCAGCCCCACTTCTCCTTCTCCTTCTCTTTCTCCTTCCTCTTTTTTTGTAGAGACAGAGTCTTGCCATGTTGTCCAGGCTGGTCTCCAACTCCCGAGCTCAAGTGATCCTCTTGCCTTGGCTTTCCAAAGTGCTGGGATTACAGGCGAGGGCCACCACACCCGCCCCCCACTCCTTCTATTAGTTTGAGATATTGGGTTTCCAGTTAAGATTTCTTTTTGAAGAAAAGATCCTGCCAAAAGAAGCTGGGAAAAACCATGGATGTAGCCTTCTGTTTTAAGAACTTAGACTGCAGAGTGAAAGAGGAGAGTTAGGATCGGAGCTAGGAAGGAGATGCAGGAGACGGGGTTTGGGTTAGTGGTTGTTGCAAAGGGAAGGACACATCATCCTTTGAACCTTCAAGGATGGAAGTCTGATGAACGCAGAAGGGGCTGTATTCCTAGGCAGGCGATGGAAGGTATGAAAACACGTAATTACATGCAGCACTGCTAGGCTCTGTTTATTTTTATTTATTTATTTTAAATATTTTATTTCATTTTATTTTATTTATTTACTTTTTTGGAGACAGTCTGGCTTTGTTGCCCAGGCTGGAGTGCGGTGGCGCGATCTCGGCTCACTGCAACCTCCACCTCCTGGGTTCAAGCGATTCTCCTTCCTTAGCCTCCTGAGAAGCTGGATCTACAGGCACGTGCCACCACACCTGGCTGATTTTTTTGCATTTTGGTACACACGGGTTTCACCATGTCGCCCAGGCTGGTCTTGAACTCCTGAGTTCAGGCGATCTGCCTGCTTTGGCCCTCCGAAAGTGCTGGGAGTACAGGCGTGCGTCACTGTGCCTGGCCTATTTTAAAAATTTTAGGTTCGGGGGCATGGGTGCTGGTTTGTTACATGGGTATATTGTGTGATGCTGAAGTTTGTGCTTCTAATGTTCCCATCCCCAAGGAGTGAACATAGTCCGTAGGTAGTTTTGCAACCCTTGCCCCACTCCCTCCCTCCTGTTTTTTGGAATTCTCAGTGTTTATTGTTCGCATCTTTGTGTTCGTGTGACTGAGGCTCTGCTTAAACAGAATGCTGTAGGCATGATCTTTTGCAACCTAAAGCATATGACCTTGAGATTGAAGATTTAAACTAAGATAGAAATAAACAGGATTTAAGCAATAGGGTTCACCTTATTGTTGGGAGTAGGAGAAAAAAATGTATGCGCCAAACACTGGGGCCAGTCTCTATGAGCTTCATGCTTAAACTGGGTCAAGGCCAGGGAGTATGATCTCTGTGGCATGGTCAATCCGGGAAGGCTTCATGAAAGAAAGAAGATTTCAGGAGCTGTGGTAGGAGGGGATGGAGATGGAGACGGTTTTGACAGATTTTTGCACTCAGGGGATGGCTCCTGTGTAATCTCAAAACGGTCTGAGGGTCCCTTCCATAATCTGACACCTTTTCTTACAGCTGGAGCAGGAGACAAACAAAGCCCTCTGGTTCCTGAAGCAGTGTGTGACTCTCTTCAAGAGCCCACAGGTTCCCATCCGCTGGGCAGCTGTGTGGTTTGCAGGTATGGCCTTTCGTCTTGTTGGAGCTACTGTGTCCTTGTTGTAGGGTCCCTTAAACTGACTGGGCACCCAGGATATGAGGACACACAGAACCCATGGGAATTACATTGGGGGGTGGGAGTGGAGGTGGGAGTGCCTGCCTGCTCCCTCCCCTGCAGGAAGCTCCTGGTCAGGTTGGGTGGTAACCTTCCCATAGCAGAATGTGCCAAGTCCTAGGAGACCAACCAGCAGAGAGACAAAGGGTGGGGCATATGGGGTCTGGGAGCTGCTCAGTGGGGGAAGTTCAGAGGTAGGTGGGGGACTGCCTCAGATCACCCCAGGGAACAGCTGTTCAGGGCAGAGGAGTATCCACTCCTTCACCCAGCCCAATTTGCTTAGAACCCTTCAGAGAAGCAAGGGACACAAGTTTGACTTTACGGGAAAAGTTCAAACCTGAGACTGGTGGCCAAGGAAGGGAAAGACAGGAAAAAGGAGGGGAATGGTGAGTGTTTTGGGAAGGGGGCCGAGAGTACTTGCAGGCAGGACCCCACTGATTCCTGGTGGGGCCTCTGAGGTGCTTCTCTGCGTCCCTGTAGGCCAGATTATCCAAACCCTAGACTTGGAAGAGATTGATGAAATTGAGGAGGCGTACACAGGTGAGTGGCAGCCCAGTTGCCCCCTCCTTGCATCTTTTAGTGGCACCGGTGTTGGTGGGGAATGCTCAGAAGTTAGGAAAAGTGGGCAGATGGCCTCACAAAAATGATCATCCAGAAGTGTGAAGAGGCAGGCTCATCCCCAAGGTGCTTAGGTTCTGAGGTGCTGGTCAGAGCCCTCCTGCCCCATGTTCACTCACACCCTCACCACCATGGAGCCCATTCATCAGCCAGGAGGGTCCCTTGGGTTTCTTGTAGGAGAGACAGTGCTGGGCTCCCATATGTAGTTGAGTCCCTGGCTGCAGCTCTCTTTGAAGTCAGAGAACTTCACACATAGCTATTCTATGGGAAAGAGAGGACGCAGGGCCAGGGAGGGGCAGAGGAGAGGAGTGAGTGGTTGGTAATGGGTGCAGGGTGAGGAGCAAGTGGGTGTCACATCTCCCTGTGCTCACAGCAGCTATGTGGCCTTGCTTGCAACAGAGCGTTGTGGACTCCTAGAAGAAACTCTTGCTCATAGTTTAAAATCCACCAGTCCTGACCCCATTGCCTGGTACCTGTCTGCCGCAGGGCCTAGGCCCTCCTGCAGCCCACTATCCTTTCTCTGTCTGTGTTTCAGCCCTAAGGCACATGCAGAGAGACTCTGACCCCATGGTCAGCTGCCTCACCACACAGACTTTCTATATCCTGGAAGCCAAGAAGAAGCTGCTACTGGCCAAGGCCCCGACCTCCTGCTTCTGCAGGAGGAGGCCCCAAAGGCACTACTTCTGAGCCTGCATCCTTGAGTCTCAGATGTAGGCCTGACCATCAGACCCTGTGACAATGGGGCCAGATTCCTGGGTCCTGCGCTAGAAATGGAGGTATATCCCTGCAGAATCTTTGTAATAAAAGGAAAAAGCATGCACCTTTGTGAAAATAGCTATTAGATTGTCTTGCCAGTCAATTCTTGGCCTTCTGGGGTAGAGTCATTTGTGAGCCACCTTCTCTGCTGTGAACATCTGGATCGGGGTGACCTTTCCCTGCTCTGCCCCTCTGCTCCCTTCTCCCATTCAGCCATGGGTCTGAGGCCAGAGCCAGCCATTTCTTTTGAACCAACCTCAACTATGAGCCGAGGGGGAAGTAATGTTGGCATACATGAGGTGTTCTAGAATGCAGTTGTGATGGTAAGCAACAGAGTTGCTTAAGCAGGAAAGTGATTTATTAAAGGGTTGTTAGTGAAAAACATCCTGGAAGATCAGAGAGTTTGGGTACCACAGAGCCAGGGACAGTGCTGCTCTATAGAAACACCACCACGACTGGCCCTTGGCACAGCCCAAACCACACCCCATGTGTCAACACTCAGGCCTGGATACTTGTCCTGCAGTGCCCTGCCTCTGCCAGGGCAGTTTTGCTTTGTTACAAGCGATGATAAAAGATAGATCTTACTAAAAACCTATTAACAGGTCAAGTGCATTGGGATAAGACCCACCTCAAAGACTGCTCTGACACCCCCACAAGTCACCTCCTCACTTTGGTCAGGCATAAAATAACAGATACAAGGTAATGAATAAATGGAAAGTAATGGATTCTAGGGCCATCTCTGTCCCAGGATGATTTTGGCCAACTCTGTTGGCCTCTATGGGCCTCAATTCTGTAAAATGTAAATTTATAAACAGAGAGTTGGGAAACATTATCTTTGTTTTTAAAACTCAACTTCAGACGCTGAGAAAAAGATACCTTTTAAGATACCACCTAGTTCTGACAATTGAATGGCTCTTACCAAATTCTGAGAGGTGCCATTCCCTTGTGCCTGGGAAAGCTGCCCCATAGCTTATATCCTAAATGGAATTTTTCTTGACACTCTCTTGTTTTCCAACTTTTCTAAAGTAAGCAGATATTATGCATGTAATCTGGAAACAAAACACCACCCCACATTAAAAGAATACAAGAAGAGTCTCTTAACCCAGTGTTCCTGTCCCCCCCACATCCCGCAGGAGCCTTGGCATCCTCGAGAGACAGGATGAACTGCGTTTGGAAAAATTACCTTGTGTTGCAAACTTTCTGGGGGGTGCAGGGAGGAGCGCAGTGACAAGGAGGAACCAGATGGCTGGAGTCCACTCCAGGTCTGGCCCGTGACCAGTTCCCCAGTGGCCAGTCTCTGGGTCTTGCCCACACATCCTGTCCAGCCTGCAGCTGGTCATGCACAGGTGTCACTTCCTGCAGTTCACAGTGGGCTCTTCTGTCCCACTGTCAGGCAGGATCCTATGCAAAATACGGGCCTGTGGGGAGCGAGGGTGGGGCGGGGAGTGGCATTGGTGATGCTGGGTCAGCCAGCCAAAAACAGCTGTTCACAAGAAGCACCCTGCTCCCGGGCAAGAGGCTCTGTGCCTGCCAGCGGGGCTGGCAAGTCAGGACAACTCCGCCCACGTGTGTCTCCTTCCATGGCCCAGGGTCCCTCTCACTCACCAAGGCCTTTCTGTGAGGACCAGAAGCCTCACTAGAGGAAACCTTCCCCAGGAAGCCTTTGCCCTCCCACCCACGGTGACTTCTGCCACCTACAGACTCCAGGAATTCCCTGGCCGAGCACCTGACACAGCCAGGTGCTGGACAAGCAGCAGGGGACCTGTGCAGGCTGAGGAAGCAATTTGGTTTTATATTTGGGAAACAAAGCAAAGAGAGACCCCACTATATTCCTGATACAAAAATCAGGAAGTTAAGCTTTTTAATCAGTCGTGGCTGGTGATGAAGATGTGGACTCTCCCTGAGGGGCCTCTCTGCCCAGGGGATGGGCCAGAATCTTCGGGAGTTGGTGAAACAATTTGTGGTTATCAAAAGGGAAATATGGGTTCTTAAAGACTGAAAAGCACTGATCTAGGAAAAAAAAATCATGGTCACACATGGTGGCTCATGCTTGTAATTCCAGCACTTTGGGAGACTGAGATGGGAGGTAAGGCTTGAGCCCAGGAGTTCGAGACCAGCCTGGGCAACATAGTGAGATCGCATCTCTACTCAAAAAAAAAAAAAAAAAGAAAGAAAAAAATTACCTGTAGAGCTCTTTTCTTATATGATCTTTTTATAGTCTTGCCTTCTTTCCATAAGTGGCAAGGGACTGAGACACATCTGGCATGCACCACGCACAGCGTAGTCCAGGCCCTAGAGAGGCACATGTTACATTATCAAAAGGCAAAGGCTGCTGTGTTCTGGCAGGTCTAGATGCAGATTCTGGCTCTGTCCTTACTAGCTGTGATCCTGGGAAAGTCACTTCCATCCTGAGATCTTTCTCATTTCATAAAACGAGAATGTCACCTGTCACACAGGACAGTGAAGACACAATGAAAAATGCTCTGAACAGTGCCTAGGATATAGCAGGTGGTCCAGCAACTGCATCTGCCTCAGGAGACAACATATGGAGTCTGGAGGAGAATGTGACACTCTCAAAGCTCTCTGTTTTCTAACTGGTGAAGCCCCAAACTCACAGCTCAGGAAGTTCTCATCAGGCTGGGCCCAGCCCCAGAGGCCTGCTGCACCCATTCACCCACCCACCCACCACCACTACCAACCCCCTCTCCAAAGGTCCCAGCCAAAAGTCAGCAGCCCCCCGGAAGGGGGCAGGGGACACCTCCACAGACATTGGTCATTCAGGTTTTATTTATGACAACTTCTTAGAACACACACATCCAATCTAGGAACAGAAATGTACAACATGAGGCTTAAATAAGTTTCATACACTATGTACAGCCATCGGCAGAGGTACAAAACATATATACACCTTGTGCTAGTCACATCGCGGAGGACAGCAGGAGTCTAATGAAGCCTGCAGCCTGGGCAGGGCATGATTGCTAGAAAAGAGCTGGTGGGCAGGGCAGGGCCCTGATTCATCTCAGGGGTCTTCTCTGACCCGCGGCTCTTTGTGAAGCAGTTTCTACTTCCTACTTCCCTGCAAGGCCCTCAGGACATGGCTCACGGGACTGAACTGGGGTGTGATGGGGGCTTCAAGATCATGAGTGCTGGGGATGGGGCAGGGGACAGAACAAAGATATCAAAGAAGACACAGAACTTTCCCTGCAAAATCTGTCCTTGCACACAAGACGGCAGGGAAGGATCTGGCAGTCAAGAGAGGAGGGCCAGGCCCAGGAAGGCCTGTGGGGCATTGGCCACTGACCAGGAGGCTATGCCAAGCGAGGAGAGCAGTGAGCAGTTGCCTGTTTGGGATGGCAAAGGGACACATACCACAGGTCCGGGACACACAGTGGGAAGTCACTGCTCCTGCAGGGCAGGTTCTGCCCACACAAACACGATGGTGAACAGACCAGGCACAGGCAACAACCAGGGGATATGCCTGCTCCCAGCCCAGACCACATCGGGGGATGCCCCCTAGAGCTGAGAGTTAGCAGGGCAAAGAAGTGTTATGTTCCCTAACTTCACTGCAGCCGCCTGCCGGTGTCTCCCTCCACCACATCAGGCACATGAGAAAGTCCCCGTGACCTCGTGTTTTCCCCATGTGGTTTTGTGCTTTAAACTGCCCTCTGCCCAGGCCACACAGCCCCAGACAGGCAGCAGGGCTGGACAGCTGAGGATGAAGAGATTCCTAGGCTGAATCCAGGGCGAGGCCATTCCCAGATCCACCGCTGTCCCTTCCCAAGGGGCTGAAGGTGGCACTCTGACCACCTCAAAGGCTTGGGTGTGCCAGCCTCCGCCTGTTAGTCTTTCCTCCTTCCTTGGAAATCTCGCAAGGCAGCTCCAGGCGCTGCCTTTGAGAGTTCCGGCTGCCTCAGAGGAGTCCGTCACTCACATGAAAGCAAATACTGAACTGACTGACAGTGAGGACGGGGCCCCGGCACAGGACTATGCTGAAGAGGCCCAAGGGCAGTGGGGATGGAAGACTCCTTCTATCCAGGGAACCCGCTCATAAGCTTCGAAAGCACAAAGTGGGGCTTGACCCAGGAGACAGGGAATCAGAGCAAGCTCTTCGGGCTCACTAGGGCTAGGACTCAGCCTGAACTCAGGCGTTTAGAGATTTGGGGTGCGGGGTTTAGAGAGCGCTTTACTCCTGGTCCCATGGTATACAGATGTGGCTGGGCCTGACAAGGCTCAGATCTTAAGATGGGCACAGAAGGGTGAGAAGTTAGCTGGCGAGTCCCAGAATTAGCACGAGCCATGGGCCAAGGCCTGGTCTGAGCAAGGGCAGCCCCCTGTCCCAGACGCAGGCATCCCCAATCTCACTTTGGACAGAGGCAACCTGGGAGGAACTTCCCAGGCCCGGGTCTATCCAGTCTGCCTGCGAGACCCTGCCATTGTGCTCAAATCACAACCATTTTGTGCTTCCAACACTTAGGGTGCTTGTGCAGTGATTGGAGCTGGGGGCCTGCCCCCTAACGATGGACCCTGGACATCCCTGAAAGAGTGGGCAGAGACTCCAACTCTCATGGAGCACAACTTGGGGTGTCTCAGGGATGCTGGGCTCAGGGCTCCTGAAGGACTTCAAGTTTAGAGAGTCAATGACACTTGCCAGGACAGCAGAGCTGGCCCCGCCGTGAGGTAGCTGACCCATCGGAAACAGCGGAAAATGGGCAATGATGATGAGCACCTCTCGCGGGGCCGTAAGATCACACTTCGTGTGAGAACACGCCTTGCAGCTACAGTGCAGTCACCCCAGGTGGGGCATCCCCCGCCCAGCTGTGGGAGCTCAGGGGACAGAGTCTTATGTGTTTCTATCGCTTGTAAACAGTCATGCGGACGGATTCTTTCTTACAGGTTGCAAGGTCAAAACCTTCTGTTCAGGTGGGGAGGGATGGAGAGGAGTGGGAAGAGATTTGTGGCCACATCTCAGAGCTAAGGGGTTACCCAGCACCCCCAGGGTGGCCAGAGGAAGAAGGATTTCCAGTCATTGCAGACAGACTGTTCAGGTCCTGGGAGACCAGCAACTGAGGCAGTCTCCTTCCTGCCATCAGCAGGCCCAGACTTCAATACCACTTCCAGCAGGGCCAGCACCAGCAGGACAGCCTTCTTAGCCTCTGTGGCAGCTCCGAGGAGGGCACGGGGAAGGGACCAGGCCTCACTTAACCTCCACTGGGGCCTGCCTCCCCACAACACTGGGCGCCACATGGAGAGGGCTCCAAATGCCCTGGCCCAAGATGGAGAGGAGCCAAGGGCAGAAACACAGAACCACCTCCGGTAAGTCCAAGTCACTGCGTCCTCTGAAGGGAGGTGGGGCTGGCTCTTGGCTCCCAGACTGAAGCCGGGAAGCACAAGACCAGCGAAGCAAGGGAAAAACAGAGTGGGCAACTTTGGGTGGCGGTGGGGCGGGGGAGAGGGATGGAGCTCTGTACCTCCCAAGGCCCACTCCTGTAATTCCAGAGTTTCCCCAACAGGGGGCGCCAGAACACTGATTTAACAACCTCCCCGGAGCTCGGTGTCCTGAGCTCGGTGTCCCCAGCCCCGGGGCAGAGGAACTGCCGACGCCCTCCTCCTTGATAATTTCCTACAAGGGAGGGCCTGCGCTCCATGCCAGTTTTAAGGCTGAAAATGTGTCTCCTGAATAACCAGAGAGAGAGAAGCTGGAGAGACTCCCCGGCCCAGTGCGGGGCTGCAGGGCTGGGGAGGGGCGGGGGCCAGGGTGCCGGGCCGTCTTCCCCATCCTAGCCGCCTCCCAGCAGACACAGCCCCCACGCTGCTTCCTACGTGGCCCACGCAGGACTCTGGGGTGGAACCCCGGGGCCTGGGCTGTGGGGTGAGCGCCCCCGCCTTCCCAGGGGCGCTGGGCACCAGACCTCGCGAGTGAGAAGACACATGTGGTGCCACGGGCATGGCTGGTGTAAGGCTGCCCGGCACGGGTGCCAGGCCCCGGAACGGAGGAAGGCACTGAGCGTCAGGCGGCCTAGAGGCCAGGGGGTACGCTAGAAGGCTCCCTGGGGGCTGTGTCGGGGACAGGTCCAAGCTGCAGAGTGAAAGGAGCAGTTCCCTCCTCCGCAAAGCAAACAGAGGAGGCGGCCCTGGAGGGCCGGGGCAGCGGACTCCCTTTGGAATTTCTGGCCCCCAAGAGCTGAGGGAAAGAATATATGGGAAGAAACTTCAAGTCAGTTTCCAGGAGGCAACAGCAAAAAATAAAAATAACAAAATAAATAACTGAAGTATTTCTGACTGTCTCCCCAAAGGAATCTTTCTAGCAGCTCTATCTTGGCCCCATCTGAAGGGGACCCCAGGGAATTGTTGGGGCCAGCTGGGGCTATCTGCGGGTGGCCAGAGGGTTAAGGGTTAGCTGCAAGGCCCAGCCGCCCACACCTGGTTTCCTTAGCTACCTGAGGACTATCTTTTTGGGCTCAGAGGCAGGTGCAGTGGCTCTAGAGGCTGGGCTGGGAGGCGGGGGGAGGCCAGCTCCTCGGAAGGGTGGGATGGGGCCAGGCTGCTGCACCTCCCCACAGGGCCCCACCACTGGGCCAAAGGCCTGAGAAAGGGGCAGAGCCAGTTCAGCAGGAGACAATGTGGCCAGGACCACTGGGAGTGGAACAAGAAGGGATAATGCCCTTTGGCTTCACAGCTTGATTTCCTCCCCAGCCCCTCTCTCACCCAGAGGCTCCAGAGAGGCAGGAGAGGGACTGAGGGAACAGTGTCCTGTGGGAAGGCCAAGGGAGAGGGAGGAGGACAGGAGAGGGGGCCACGCCCTCTGTCCCCAGGGCAGCTGGCCCCATCGGCTGGGTCACAGCTTCCCTTCCATGCTGTCCAGGCTGCCGGGGTCGAGGGTCCGGGGGCATCCCTCTGACCTCACTCCTAGGGTGGGCCGCTGTGGGGTAACCGCCGGACACTCCAGAACTTCACCGTCAGGTCACTGGGGTGGAGGACAAAGTGGAGGGGCGTGGGTCAGCTCTTACAGTGAGCTCGGCTGGCTGCCCCCAAAAGTAGAGGATGAACTGGATTCCCCAAACTCCCCAAATGCGGTTGGGGCTGGGAGGCAAGCATCGCTTACGGGGAGGTGGACTGCAGGTGGTGGGGTGCTGGGCAGGTGGTGGGGTGCTGGGCAGATGGAGAGGCCTGTGCACTCGGAGGCCCCCGGGGGAGCTTTGTCATGGGTTTTTTTTGGGGGGATGTTTTGTTCTGTCCAGGCCTGAAGTCTCCCCCATCTGCTCCCTGGCACCCATCTCCTGGGGCCTGTCCCACTGTTCATGCTCGGGAGAGGATGATGGGAGCAGGAGGGACAGGCAGGGCACCTCTCTGGGCCAGGCAGGACAGGAAGGGAGAGGAAGAAGGAGGAGTAAAATAATCTCATACCGTTAAGAAGCAGCTCAGATCGAAGTGGGGAAAGAGAGGGAAAAGGAAAGAGGGGGAAAAGGAAAGAGGGGAAGAATGAGAGAGGAGACAGGGAGAGATGGGGAGGGTCAGGGCAGGGTGGTGGCGCGGCCCTTTATGGCCAGGACTCGGCGAGGAAGGCAGGGGGTGAGTCCAGGGACGTAATTCCACAACTTTACCCGGCAGTCACTGTGGGGGGAGAGAGGCGAGGACAGAGAGGAGAGGTGGGAGGAGATGGGAAGGGGAAGGGAGAGAAGGGACAAAGTCGGAACAAGAAAGAAAGCCGTCTGAGTAGCACCCCATGGGACAGAGGGCCTGGGGGCTCCCCAAGCAGGGGGCCAGAGCAGGAGGCGTGTGTAAGAGACATGGTCTGGGGACTGGCAGGGCTGCTCTGTGCTCTGAGAGATACCTGGACGGGGGTAGACAGCCAGGGAAGGGGAGGGTAGGAAGGGCTTGGAGACAAGCGGGCAAGGCCTGGCCCGGGGCCCAGTACCTTCCCCCTCCCCTGCCTAGCGCAGTGCCCAGCATATGGTGGGCACCCACTGAAGGCTGGCATAGGCTAGGTATGCAAAGGAGGCCACCATGGAATCTGCTCTGTGAACCGAGCCTGTGGGGACAAGTGCAGGGCCCTGAGCCTCCCAGCCTCCCCTGCCCATACCAGGAGATGAGGGGAGCAGAGGCAGATCTCTCTGTCCAGCACCCACCTGGAGGCTGTGAAGATGTGCTTGGCATTGGTGCAGATGGCATTGATGGGGCTGTCGTGCCCCTTGATCTCACCGATGGGCGTGAAGTTGTCCACGTTCCAGACCTTGATGACGCCCGCACGGCAGGCGCTGAGCAGCATGGGGCGGCCTGGGATGAAGGCCAGGGCGCACACCCAGTCCTTGTGTGCATTGGGGATTTGCTGCGGGAGGATCAGGGCTGGTGAGGGCTGGGGGAGGTGGTGAGGGAGAGAACCTGCCCCAGGGCCCCTCTTGCTAGTAGTGGAGCTACTTCCAGGGTTCCCTGGCCTCTAGACCTGCCACACAGGCAGGTGACACTGGTTCCAGGAGCCATGCTAGGTGGCCTGTGCTGTGGGCTTTAGGAGACCAGAGATGGGTCCCTCTGCTCTTCTTCCCAGGTTCAAGCCTAAGATCCTGCCCTGGCAGAGAACCCTTCAGCCCTCACATGGGTCAGGCTAAAACACAAATGCTCCCAGGAAAGGAATTGGGTAACTGAGCTTCACATTCAAACACAAGAGCTGAGAGCAAAGGCTTTGCTGAGGGCAGGTTGCCTAAGGGGGAGGTGTGGCAGCAGGAAAGGTCGTGGGTAGGGAAGGGAGGATAGAGACAGTGGAGGAAGAGGGAGAACAGGAGGGCTTGGGCAGCTGTGAAAACCATCCGGCCTGGGGCCCAGGGTCTCCAAGGCTCTGCGTGTGCTATGGGAACCACCCCACCCGAGTCTACCCTCTCCCCTTCCTCCTGACCCCACCTGGATGAGCTCCTGCTGGTCTAGGTCCCACTTCTTGATGCCATTATCTCGGGAGCCACTGAACAGGATGTCTCCCTGGATGGCGAGACACTCGATGCCGTCGTAGTGCGGGGGCTCAAAGTTGTGAGTGGGGCCAATGGTGCCCGTCACACACTCGCCCAGCTCGAACATCTGCGGGAGGAGGGGCCAGTAGGGAGAGGCCAAGTGGGAGGAGGGAAGGCAGGGCCTGCAGCACTGTGGACCCAGGGGCCTGAAGACACAGGAGTCTGGCTAGGGTGAGAGCCACTGCCCTCTGGGGAGAGGAGCTTCCCAGCAGGTGAAGGTTCCTGGAGGTGGGGCTGCTCCTTCCACGGGCCTGGGAACACTGACGGTTCAGGTCTTGACCCTTCCCGTGGACACTGGGGCAGGGGTGGGAGGAGACCAACTCAAGTAATGCAGGGGTGAATCAGCTCATCACGCCGAGACCCCACAGCTCAACGGGCAGCTGCTAAGGAGAAAGGCGGGTTTGGGGTGTGAGCCTCCCTCTAGAATTCTTTTGTTTTTTACTAAATGGTCACCATAATCCCACCACCCCTGAAAATCCTGCTTCCTTCCAGTTTCTTTTTTGTTAGAGACTGAGTCTCACTCTGTTGCCCAGGCTGGAGTACAGTGGCTTAAACTCAGCTCACTGCAACCTCTGCCTCCCAGGTTCAAGCGATTCTCCTGCCTCAACCTCCCGAGTAGCTGGGACTACAGGCACCCGACACCATGCCTGGCTAATGTTTTGTATTTTTAGTACAGACAGGGTTTCACCATGTTGGCCAGGCTGGTCTCAAACTCCTGACCTCAAGTGATCCTCCCACTTCAGCCTCCCAAATTGCTAGGATTACAGGCATCAGCCACCACGCCTGGCCTGCTTCCTTTCAGTTTCTGACTGTGTATGGACAGTTTTCAATGGCATAATCAGAGAGCAAACAAATTAGTGTTGTTTGTCTACTTCATGTTTGGTTTGCTATTTATCATTTTAATAGCTGCAATGTATCCCATTTAGTGGATTTTCCATAATTTGATTGTTATTCTACCCTTCAACATTTAAGTTATGAATTTTTCACCTGTTACAAAATAATGCTGCAATCTATAACTTTCTGCACATAACTTCTTGCCTTCTTTGGGGTGATTTCTTCAGCAAACATCCCCAGAAGGCTTCTAATTTTTCGTGGGTACTCCCAAGGCAACAGAGGGCAAAGACTGGGGAGAGTGGAAGACCAGCCCTGACCCAGGCCTCACAGCTGAGGCAGCCCCAGATACCTTAACGTAGTGGTCCTTGGAGCCAGTCACCACAAGGTCGTGCTGGCTGGCTGTCTGGGTGACCGTCAGGCACATCACAGGACCGATGTGGCCAGTCAGCTTGCCGACAGGCTGGAACCTGCAGTGGGAAGAGGCCCAGCCGGGGTAGGTGAATTAGAGGGGACCCTGGCTTGGGGTGGGGTGTCTGCCCCAGAACAAACAGGCCTGGTCAGGGTACTCACCCACCCCTGCTTGGTTAAGGCAAGATCAAGAATCTAGACAATAGCTGCCCTGCATCCCAGCACTCTCACTAGAGAGGGCACAGGCCCAGCAGCATGGGGGGAATAAAGGTGTTGCTGAGGTCCTACCCACCCTGGGGTGGGTCCCCCTGAGCCAAGACCTGGGGACCTTGCCTGGGCATGCCAACGCCCCCTCTCTCCCCAGGTATCACGCTGACCTGCTAAGCTCCCAGATGCGGACGGCGTTGCCCGAGGCGGCGTACAGCATGGTGCCCGAAGGGCTGAGGGCGATCTGGTTGATCTGATGCTCACCCTGAGCACTGGTGATGGCACGGGTGGACGTGGCGGCACAGGCATCCCCTGAGATCACCTGGCCTGAGGATCTGCCCATAAGGGAGAAAGGCAAGGCCAGAGGTCAAAACAATCCATGTGCACAGTGCAGGGAACCCATAAAACTTCACTAAGACCAGCCCAAATAACCCACTTCTAGGAAGTCTTCCTTGACTGACAGAGAAGAGCAATAGCTTTTCCCATAAGTGAGACCCAGGGGAGAGCTCCACTCCAGTCCCCGGTGAGTCAACTCCCCATGTGGCCTGCCTATGTGCCTGGTCACTGGCTTGGAAAGATGGCAAGGCTCAGTCATGAGACTGGGTGTGAACCTGGATCTTCCGGAAATCAACCTCTCTGAGTCTCAGTTTCCTCATCTGTTAAAAGAAGTGATTATACCCATTCTGTTTACTTTTTTTTTTTTTTTTTCCCTGAGATGGAGTTTCGCTCTTGTTGCCCAGGCTGAAGCGCAATGGCGTGATCTTGGCTCACCGCAACCTCTGCCTCCTGGGTTCAAGCGATTCTCCTGCCTCACCCTCCTGAGTAGCTGGGACTGTAGGCATGCACTACCATGCCAGGTTAATTTTTATTTTTAGTAGAGACGGGTTTCTTCATATTGGTCAGGCTGGTCTTGAACTCCTAACCTCAGGTGATCCGCCTGCCTCAGCCTCCCAAAGTGCTAGGATTACAGGCATGAGCCACCACACCCAGCCTGTTTACATTTATTTATTTGTTTGTTTGAGATGGAGTTTCACTCTTGTTGCCCAGGCTGGAGTGCAATGGTGCAATGTCGGCTCACTGCAATCTCCGCCTCCCGGGTTCAAGCAATTCTCCTGCCTCAGCCTCCTGAGTAGCTGGGATTACAGGCATGTGCCACCATGCCTGGCTAATTCTGTATTTTTAGTAGAGATGGGGTTTCACCATGTCGGTTAGGCTTGTCTAGAACTCCCGACCTTAGGTGATCTGCCCGCCTCGGCCTCCCAAAGTGCTGGGATTATAGGCGTGAGCCACCACGCCCAGCCTTGTTTACTTTTTTTTTTTTAAAGACTTAATTTTTTTTAAGGCTAGTTTTAGGTTCACAGCAAAACTAAGCACAAGATACAGATATTTCTCACATGCCCCTGCCCCCACACAGGCACAGTCTCCCCTGTTATAGAAAGCTGCCTGGGTTTTCATTATGAACCCATGTTGACATGTTGTATTGCCCAAGTCCACAGTTCACGTTCAGGTTCACTCTTGGTGTTGTACCTTCTAAGGGTTTGAACGAATGTATAATGGCATGCATCTACCATTATAGCATCATACAGAATAATTTCACTGCCCTAAAAACCCTCTGTTTATTTATTCATTATTATTATTTTTTGAGACAAGGTTTGCTCTATCGGCCAGATTGGAGTGCAATGGCACAAACATGGCTCACTGCAGCCTTGACCTCCTGGGCTCAAGCAACGTTCCACCTCAGCCTGCTGAGTAGCTGGGACTACAGGCACGCACCACCATGCTCAGCTAATTAAAATATTTTTTTTTTTTAGAGACAGAGTTTCCCTTTGTTGCCCAGGCTGGTCTTGAACTCATGGTCTCAAGTGATCCTCCTGCTTCAGCCTCCAAAATACCTGGGATTATAGGCATGAGCCACTGTGCCCAGCCTGTTTACTTTTTAAGGATCAAATTAATAGATTGTATTACAGTGTTAATGTAAGGATGTAGTATGACTTCTGCTAAAAAAAAACACACAATCTTTATTTTGCAAGGCTCTTGGTCTCAGTTCTGCCTCCCCTGCCCTATGCCTGTGTGTCTGAGACTGTCGGGGCAGGGCTCAGGGCCATGACTGGGTGGTCACCTACACAGGCAGTGTCCAGCATGGCTTTGGGGGCTCGCCCTGTTTCCTAGCTCCTCTTTCAGACTCATAGGATGATATCTAACACACCTCAAGGGTCAGGGTTTGGGGGACTGGGCCGTGGGTAGAGGCCAGGCAGGCCAAAAATTCCTCTAGTGGTGCTACCCCAGACACTGTCTCCCAAACCAAGAGATCTCACCTTGTATCCCAGGGTCAAGCAAGTTCATAGGATGGTAATGGTCTTTGTGCCCATGTAGCTGGGCTGTGCTGTGCTGAGTGGGTCACTTGGGCTGGGAGCATTTGCACCCAACCCAGCCTGCTGTAGCCCACCACTGCGAGGCAGGTGAGGGGTACTCACGTGAGAGTCCGAATGCACTTGGCTGAGTCCCGGATGTCCCACACCTTGATGTAGGAGGTGGACACGGAGAACACAAGCCCCGAGTGGCTGCAGTACTTGATGGAGACCACATTGTTGGGGTGGCCCTTTAGAGCTGCGATCTCCTGTCCCGTAACCAAGTTCCACATCTTGCAGCTTCGGTCTGTGAGAGATGGGAGGAAGCCACAGGGAGGGGAGGGATGTCAGCCACTAGGGGGCGTAGCTCTGCCTCTGCAGGGGCTGCCCAGGGTAGGGGAAAGGGATCCAGAGAGCTCCAGAGGATGGAGCTCCAGTTCTGAGAGAGAAACACACACACACGTGTGCTCACTGGCATGTGTGTGTGCTAGTAAAAACTCAGGGGAGAGAGAATTCCCTCAGAACTTCAGACCAGGGTTCCTCAAGCAAACTTTCCACTAACACCAGAGTTCTGTGAGCCACACTGCTAAGGTGTCCAGGGCTAAAATAAAATTCTTAAGCTTTTATGATGCCTGTTCCTCCAAACGCTAATTGCTGACAAAGTAAATGAACCAGTGCAAGCAAATGTTATGGGAAAATTTGGCATCAATCAATCACACCTAGATTGACAGCTATCCCCCTACTGCCGTGGAGAGCTATATTTATGCTTGTGTTTTAGTATGCGTGTCTATTACCGACTAGTTCTGTTGGTAAAATGAATGAATGAATGAATGAGTAAATAAATAATTCTGTATTTACTTATTGAGATACGGTCTTGCCCTGTTGCCCAGGCTGGAGTGTAATTGCACAAACACAGCTCACTGCAGCCTTCACCTCCTGGACTCAAAGTTTGATCCTCCCACCTCAGCCTCCTGAGTAGCTGGGACTACAGGCACATGTCATTGTGACTAATTTTTTATTTTTTGTAGAGACAGGGTCTCACTATGTTGCCCGCCCAGATAGTCTCAGACTCCTGGGCTCAAGCGATTCTCCCGCCTCATGCTTCCAAAGTGCTGCAATTAGTATGAGCCATTGTGCCCAGCCTGGTAAGATGTTTGACTTTGTTGCTGTAATTAGGTAAGCGTGACTTTGTAAAGTGCTGCTGCGATCATAGGGAGTGCCTAGATGTATGAGCTGGGGTGATGTCGGGCAGTGCAAGTACAGGTGGGGCACCTGAGAAGCTTCCTGAAGTTTCCCTGGGAGCTCTGGAAGGAAGTGCTAGATGGAGCCACCAGGTCAGGTATGAAGGAAGGCTTGGCCAAGGATGCATGGGATGGAGGCCTTGAGCCAAGGTAAGAAACAAGGGTAGTAAGTAAATAGACCACCATATCCTTAACTCCCGGAGTCTCTATGTTCTCATCTCCTTTATAGACCACTCTGACAGAGGAAGCATGGGTGAGTAGGAGACCCCAACCCTACCTGGCTAGTTGGGGTTCCACGTACCTTTGGATCCTGTGAATAGCAACTCATCCGTGGCATCCAGGCAGAGGATGGGCTTGGTGTGGCCTTCGGCCATGGAGACGCACTGCAGTGGGGCTGTCCGTGCACCCTTGGCTCCTCCAACCGGGGAGATGATGCCCCTTCCCAGGAGAGAGGGAGAGAGGGCATGCTCATCAGCCAGTGAGACCGTGGCCAGGCTGATCAAGGCACGTGTGTGGGACGGGGACAGGGCGGGGAGGGGATGAGGACCTCATAACAGAGACTTTAAGGACTTCAGCCAAATTCCACCAAGGTCTGAGAGCCAAGAATGGGCTACAGAGTGGAGATGGCCTGTCTTAATCAGCAATCTGTCAGTTGCCATCCTGAGCACTTCTGGGCAAGCAAACCCTGTGCTAGGCATAGCTAGAAGGTGCAGGAGGTGGGGGCTCTGTCCACAGAGAGTTCCCGTCTGACAACGTCTGACCCAGATCCTGAGACGTGAATGCACCTGGGTCCAGTTGGGCAGGGCACAGGCCCGGGGGCTGGAACTGGGCCCTACAGCTTCCACCAGAAGCTGCACGCTGCTTCAGTTAACCAAGTGTGAGGGAGGGGTGCTGAGAGGGAGGGGTGCTCAGGCCGCCACTCCCATGCACCCTGATCCCAGTAAACCCTTCTGCCAGTGACTGCCTCTGGGGCTGGCATCTTCCGAGCAGAGAGCCATGTGCACACATACACACCCCTTCCGGACCAATGGGGCCAAACCTGTGACTGGCATTTACAAAGGGCCAAATCCCTTAGAGGCCGGCTTGGATTTGGGGTAGGAGGTTTGGGGCTCTCTGGAATGGGGCTGTATGAACCCGGAATGACACCTCCTTGCTCCCACGATGCTGGGGCAGCGAGAACGAGGCCGGCCCAAGTGAGTGTGAGGATTCTGACACACCCAGCTTCCTGAGGTTCTGAGGATGATTTATTTTCTCAGTGAGCGTCTTCTGGGATGAGACCCTGGCTGAGTTATGTCTGAAAATATATCCTAGCTTTGTTTCTTTTCCCAAGAGAACGCTGCTCCCGACAGTGACTCTGTGGCCAAGGGTCTACTGAAATGATCAAGGTTTTGCCTGTGGTGCTTCTGGCACAGCTCCCCCCAGACTCTGCCAGGCCCACCCTTGAGGATGGTGGTCGGATATGTCCAGCTGCCAGCCGGGTGCCACACATGCACAAATAGCCCCCAAGCTGCCCCAGCGCTCCGCTTCTGACAATGGTTTGGCTTCGCTGCATGGCCACAGAACTATGTCAAAGGGATCACGCTCCCCCCGATGACAGCCTGGCCAGCTGGCTAACATCTTGTGGTGGCAAAGCCTCATGACCCACAGTAAACCAGACGTCGACACCCAGGGCTGGAGGCTCAAGGAGCTGAGACAGCCTGCCAGGAGAGCCCAGGAAGCTCTCAGCCCATGAGGGGCCCTTGGCTGCCAAGGGCTTGGGCCCCCAGGTCCTGAGTCTTACTCCTCATTGTGGGGTGTGGTGCTGGGTTGGCAGGGAGAACCAGCCTCCAGCCATCCCACAGGCTAAGGGAAGGAGAGGTACCCGCACATGTATGTGCCAAGAGGTGTAGGCAAGGGGTGCTGCCCCCATGGTGCCCCTCCCAGAGCCAGCGTCTGAAGGGCTCACCCCCAGCACAAGCTGAGGGAATCAGAGGACCCAGAGCACACCACCGGCACCCCCAAAAGGAGCAGCCCTCAGCATTTCCCCTGCCTTCCAGTTGTGGAGAACTCAGCTCCAGCCCAGCATCCCCTAGGCCTCCATGCTGCACCCCTCCCTGCCCAGGTGAGGAGGGAGAAGAGAACAGGGCCTGCGACAAGCAACTGTGCACCCTCCCCAAGCCCCCAGCTCTGGCCGGCGCAGTCCAAGGCCTTGTGGCCACCCTGAGAGGGAGGAACCATGAGGGCGGGAACAAGTCTGGAGAGGGGGCAGCAGGGAGGGTAGTGGAGGGGCCGCATGCGGAGGACACGGGTGTCAGGCAGGAGGGATGCAGCGAGAGAGAGAGAGAAGAGGGTGCCGAGAGTGAGAGTGGGGAACCAAACACGAGAGACATTCTGTGTGTACCTCAGGACCTCCGACAAAGAGGAGTCGCTGTCATCAGACCTGGGGAGGGCAGAAAATTAGCTGGATTAGGGGGTGAGAGGAGACACACACAGAGGGACGCAGAGGCGGCAGCAGCGTGTGGGGTGGTCAGAGGGCAGGTTATTCTCTTCCAGGGGAGCAGAGACAGGCAGAGGAATGAGGGCCTCGGGAGAGCAGGGGAGGAGGTAAGTGGGCTGGTCTGGGAGCTGGGACTTTCCCCCAGGAGTGGGCCGCCAGGGTCTCTCGGCTTGTAGGGGAGGAGCAAGGACGGGGCCACAGGGAGACATGGGAGCACCAGCCCCACCCGTGGGGAGATGTTTCCGGGGCTGTTTGCTGGTTCCAAGCTCTCTGGCTGCCCCATCACACAAGCTGGGGGCACCTGCCCCACCCCAGCAATGCTTGTACCTGCCCAAGGCTAAAGGAAGCCATGCCTGATCCTACCCCTCCCTGGGAGCTGGCTTCTTCCAGCAATTCCTCAGGGGCTCACTTATTTACAAAGCCCACTATCCCCAGGGGGCCCCCTGGGACAGTGCCTAGAAGCTGGCTCTGCACCATGCACAGGCTCCAAGACCGGGACCACTGGACAAGACCAAGGCCTCCAGAAGACCACCGGGCTGGGATGGGCAGAGACCTGCCCCAATCCTTCCAAAAAGGGGGCCTGCTGATTGTGACAACATGGAGATGGGCTAGAAGTGATCCACGGCTCTCCGCATAGCAGTCTGGGCCAAGATAGGTTTGGGGAAGGAGGTGTCTGGGGTGCCAGGTCTGCAGGGCTCTGACTCCTGGGCTCAGCATTCATCGAGTAGTATTTTGACCCAGGAAGGGGCATTTCTGTGGGGAGGTGGGTAGGGTGGACATCAGGTACTACATACAAGGACAAGTATTTTCTAGCATGAGACTCCCCTGAAGGACACAGCAGTGTCGTCCCTGGGGCAGGGAAGCATTCAGGGAGCTAAGAGAGGAGCCCTCTTGAGGGCTGCAGAGAGCAAAACAGGACCAGGGTGGGCCCAGCAATGCTGGGGAGCCCAGAGCAGCACATGGAGGATAGGGTCCTTCCCGTTCCTGAGGCACAGCAGGCAGGGGCTGGAAGTCCCAGGCTCTGAGTGCAATTCTGCCACTTTCTAGGTGAACATCCCTGGCTCCCTCTCTGAGTTTCATTTCCTCTTATGTGAAACAGGGAAGACAGTTCTCGTGGTTGTTTTACTGCCTAATGAAATCACATATATGAAAGCAGGTTGTAAAGCACAGGGAGAAAGCCTTCTGAATGCAGGGGAGGCTGTTAACATAAACCACACCGCTAGTCATTACAGTCTTGCATCAGGAGCTGTGCATATAGGTGGACCTGAACCTGCCTAAGGAAGGCAATTTGGGGGTCTGGTCTCTTTCTGCTGGAGAATACACAGAGTGGAGTGGCTGAAGCTGAAGGAAGGGGCTTCAAGCAGACCCAAAGCAGCAGCAGAGGTGGATTAAAGGGCAGCTCTGGAGAGCCCTCGGGCACCTGCCCCATGCGACCAGCCCGCCTGACTGCCCGGCCCCAATTCCTGTGGCCTCCTTCTTGTCCTCTCCTGAGGGCCTGGCATGCTCAGGGGAGAAGAAGGGCCCACGGTCAGTACAGGAAGGAGAGAAATGCCAGGAGAGGGCATCAGGGCGTCAGCTCTTGGCGGGGCTGGAACTTCAGGCTGGGGTTGGCTTGGCCGCCTGAGCCCTCCTCCAGCAAGGACCGTTCACAGGCTCCCCATTGCCACCTCGGTGCCCTCCCCGCCTTGCTCCTCAGCCCTGCTTACTTGTCCAGCGCTGACCCCTGGCTCTGATTACTGGTGAGACGAGAGAAGACATTTCGGTCATTGCGGGGCCGAGTGGGAGGGGATGATGGGGGTGTGAATCCCACATCTGTGGACCTGGTGAGTCGGGACAGAGGGCAGCCTGTTAGTGACCACCCCTGCCCACAGGCCCCCACTTGGTGCTGGGCTTCCACCTTCTGCCTTGGCTGTGAGGCCCGCAGGGCAGGGCCTGCTGTGCAGTATTCTCAGAGCTTAACACCCAATTAAACTCCTGGATGCTGTCTTTAAACATCAGTCCTCATCATTCGCAGATTCCATATTTGGGAATTCACCTATTTATTAAAATGTATTTGTGGTCAGGTGCGGTGGCTCATGCCTGTAATCCCAGTAAATTGAAAGGCCGAGGTGGGAGGATTGCTTGAACTTAGGAGTTTGAGACCACCCTGGGCAACATGGAGAGACTTCAACTCTACAAAAAGTAAAAAAATTAGACGGGCATGGTGGTGCCTGCCTGTAGTTCCAGCTACTTGAGAGGCTAAGGCAGGAGGATCGCCTGAGCCTGGGAGGTGGAGACTGCAGTGAACCCTGATCGTGCCACTGTACTCCAGCCTGGGTGATAGAGTAAGACCCTATCTCTAAAAAGAAAAAAATCCTCCTGCCTCCCACCAAGGCAGGTGGCAAGAGGCCATCTTGAGCCCCTGCTTTCCCACTATTTAGCTGTGTGCCACCAAACCTCTTAATTAAGTGCATGGACGAGAAAACCGGGAAAGTCGTCCTTCGATCTACAGAAGCTCTGTGGGCCTGGCCCACATGTGGGTGACCAGCTGGGTCCCTCCCTGCCATTCTGCATTGATCTCTTTTTCCTTTGAATTTCCTTCCTTCCTTCCTTCCTCCCTCCCCCCTTCTTCCTTCCTTCCTCCCTCCCTCCTTTCCTCCCCACCTTTCTTCCTTCCTTCCTTCCTCCCTCCCTCCTTCCCTCCTTCCCTCCCCCTTCTTCCTTCCTTCCTTCCTCCCTCCTTCCCTCTCCCCTTCTTCCTTCCTTCCTCCCTCCCTCCTTCCCTCCCCCTTCTTCCTTCCTTCCTTCTTCCCTCCCCCCTTCTTCCTTCCTTCCTTCCTCCCTCCTTTCCTCCCCACCTTTCTTCCTTCCTTCCTTCCTCCCTCCCTCCTTCCCTCTCCCCTTCTTCCTTCCTTCCTTTTTTCCTCCTTCCCTCCCCCCTTCTTCCTTCCTTCCTCCCTTCCTCCCTCCCTCCCTCCCTCCTTTTCTCCCCTCCTTTCTTCCTTCCTTCCTCCCTTCTTTTCTTCTTTCCTTCCTTTTCTTTTTTCTGAGATGGAGTCTCGCACTGTCACCCAGGCTGGAGTGCAATGGCGTGATCTCAGCCCACTGCAACCTCTGCCTCCCAGGTTCATGCAATTCTTCTGCTTCAGCCTCCCAAGTAAGTGGGATTACAGGTGCATGCTGCCACACCCAGCCAATTTTTTTGTATTTCAGTAGAGACTGGGTTTCACCGTGTTGCCCAGGCTGGTCTTGAACTCCTGAGCTCAGGCAATCCACCCGCCTCAGCCTCCCAAAGTGCTAGGATTACTGGCGTAAGCCACTGCATCTGGCCTTTCCTTTGAATTTCTAATCTCCTCTCACACGATAAGGCCTTAAAAAGACCTGAAAGCTCCCCAGAACTCATGGTCACGAAAAGGGGCTGAAGCACCTCACTGTAATGACTAATCCCAGCCACGACAAAGCCACTTGTATTGGATGCACATCAGCAAACAGTTTCCAGCACCTGGCTCGGTTATTCACTTTAAAGTGCATTATAGAGATTACATTTCTTTTTCTTTTTCTTTTCTTTTCTTTTTTTTTTGTAGACAGAGTCTCGCTCTGTCACCCAGGCAGCAGTGCAGTGGCATGATCTCAGCTCACTGCAACCTCTGCCTCCCAGGATCAAACCATTCTCATGCCTCGGCCTCCCGAGTAGCTGGGATTACAGGCATGCACCACTATGTCTGGCTAATTTTTATATTTTTAGTAGAGATGATGTTTCACCATATTGGCCAGGCTGGTCTCAAACTCCTGGGCTCAAGTGATCTGGCCATCTCCGCCTCCCAAAGTGCTGGGATTACAGGTGTGAGCCATCACGCCTGGCCCATTTCTTGAGTCCACACCTGACAGGGTGGGGAAGGGACCATTGGGTGAAGCTGAATGGCTCAGTCAAGCTGGCCCAGGTTATACTGTGCACAAGATGATCAACAGAGCAGAACATCACAGCCACTCATGAACCCAAGGACTAGACTGGTGGTGACTCTGGAGCAGATTCTAGAACACGATCTCACCTAATGGACTGCCCTCGGTCATAGGACTTCCTTCTCGTCAGCGGGGACGTCTCTGCGGCTCGAGACTGCCTGGGGCTGGAACAGAAGAGTCCAGTGAGGCCCAGACCCATCTCCACCCCCGCCCCAACCCACATTCCTGTTCCCGTCCTTACAAAGTGCTGCCCCGGGTAGGCAGGCTGACGGTGCGCGAGACCCTGTCCCGGTAATAGGGGTCTCGGACAGATAAGCCCACTCCATCCTCTTTGATCTCAACAAGGGAGGCCAGGGACTTGGTGATGTTCTTGGTGGAGATATCCAGTGGGGGACCCAGGCACTCGGCCGACACAGCTTTCATTTGGGCAGACAGCTTGGGTTCACTCTGGGAAAGGAAGAACAGGGTGGATCAACTTGCCCAAATGGCATGGCACATAAAGGGGAGCCAGGGGAAATTCTATGTTTGTTTGTTTTTTTTTTTGAGACAGTGGTGCAAACCTGGCTCACGGCAGCCTCAACTTCCTAGGCTCATGTGATCCCCCTACCGCAGCCTCCTTGAGCAGCTGAGACTACAGGCACGGACACCATACCCAGATAATTTTTACATTTTTTTTTCTGTAGAGATAGGGTCTCGCCATGTTGTCCAGGCTGGTCTTGAACTCCTGGGCTCACAAAATCCTCTTGCCTCAGACTCCCAAAGTGCTGGGATTACAGGCATGAGCCACTACACCTAGCCCTCCCGGAAATTCTAACAAGAGAAATGATGCTGTCTTGGCCTAAGGTAGAAGACCTGATGGAAGGACCCAGACAGACATCACCTGTGTTCCACAGCTACTCTCTCAGGGTTTCTGGAGAATCCAGAGCAACTGAAATGGTTTCACTGCCCTTAGTTGGACTATGTAAACACAGAATGCCCAGCCTGACTTCTTTGCAGGTCACCAGCTAATCCGTTTACCTCAAAACTATGCATAATTTGCTATTCCCAGTCTGAAGCTTTTTCCCTCCTTGTCTCCTTAAAAAACCCTGCATCTTGCTTCAGTCTAATGAAACGGATCCCTCGCTATTAGGTAAATTTCCTTATTACTGACTCTCATATGGTGGAATTGACTGTGTGCACGTAAGATAACCAGACATGTAGAGGTAGGTTTTGACTCAGTGCATGAGGTAGAATCATGGGTGAGGGAAAGGGGATATTTTTGAAAAGCGGAGCCCCTAGTTATGGTGCTGTTGCTAGCAGGGTGGCAGCAGAGGCTAGCGGTCACTCTTCCACCTTCCACCCACCTCAGAAGGCATGGGCTGTAACAGGTTACCTATCTGGACAACCCCCAATTCCAGGCTAAATTTTCTTGGCACCTCCCTCCCAACTGGGGACAATATTGTATTATGGCTGAGGGACAGTAAGCAGGGAACAGGCTGTGGGGAGGCTGGCCCTGCTGCACCCACTGCCTGACTTCCAGCGGGGCTCACCTTGAACTTGAAATCATCATGGCTGGTGGACCCTTTCATGGTGAATGACTGGGAGAAGCTGAAGAAGAAGCAGAGAGAGTTCAGGATCCTGAGGAGCCCCCAAATTCAGGCTCAGCCCTGGGACCTATGGCAACTCCTCCCACCAGCCCCAGGTACATGCTGAGAGCCAGCCTCTCACTCCAGCTTGCAAACTCACCTCCCCTCAGAGAACTCTGAGATCTCCTCATCGGTGCTGGCATAGCCGTTCTCTGTGGGAGGGCAGGAGGGAGGGAAAGGGGTTGAGAAGCCTCATCCAAGTGTCGGGGGCGGGATGATGGTCTCCCTCCTATATCTCACCCACTGGAATCAGACCAGGGCTCCTGGTGGGGGTTAGGGGTGGTTCTGGGGGAGGTGAGGGCCTCCTGGGGGTCCGAGTTCGAGAGCACTGGAGTGCCAAGGAGCTGGCAGCTTCCACCCACCCCTGCCCGTACCCTGCTGCACATTGTAGATGAGGGCCTGCAGCTCGGGGTGAGCCTCGGCCTTCTCACGCAGGGCGTCCAGGAGCAGATGGTTCTGGGAGGAGCCTGCCATATCTGTCTGCCTCAGTCGACCCTCCAGCAGCCGGATCTGGGCTTCCTTTTGTGCCACTTGCAGTCCCTGGGGGCAGGGAACAAAGCCTGGAGTTACCCTTCCTGACCTGGGGTTGAGGGTCCCCCATATCACACAACCTGCATCCCTCAAGACACCTTGGAGGGCTCCCTTCCAGCTCCCAACATCACCCTTGTACCTAGCACAGACCTGAGAGCGCCGCCAGCCCCCTTAGCTCCCACATACACACATTAAGTGACGGTCACCTTAGGACACACCCTATTATGGGCCAGGTTACGTCCTCCCAAAACTCATATTCATCTACAGCCAAGGGGAGAGGTCCCAAAAGAAACCAGCCCTGCCAACACCTGGACCTTGGACTTCCTACCCTCCAGAACTGGGAGAAAATAAATCCCTTGTTTGAGGCTCCCAGTCTGGTACTTGGTTATGGCAGCCCTAGCAAACTCACAAAGTCCCCAGACACAAAGCAGAGCTGAGAGGAGCTCAGTGGGGCCCGGGGCAGGGGTCAGTCAGCAGAGTCTCTTGTCTGCTTTCAGAGTTACACAGATTCACACCATGTAGGGTCTGTCCCCAGAGACCACAGGCCCCAGGAGAGAAGGAGGCACATCCTCTGGTTAGCCCTCTGTCAAGGAGAGAGGAGAGGAGCCCAAGAAACGTCAAGGGACACCTGATGTTCTGGTGTAAACCCTCCTGGGTGGAATGTGGTCTGTCTGTCGTTCCCCTATACCCACATACACACACGTCTCCCTCCACCTCCAACAGACTCAAGCCCAGCACTGCTTTGGATAGGCTTGGGCCAGACACCCAGGGTCAACTTTAACAGAGGCCCTGCTGTGTGCCAGATGCCAGGCCACATCCCTTACACACAGCATCTCATTAAAGTCACACAGCAAGCTATAAGCTTGGTACGGTCATCCTCTCAGCTTTATGGCTGTGGCATGGGAGGTGCAGAGGTTAGGTGGCTTATCCTAGCCTGTGAGTGATGCAGGTGAGGAGGAGCCAGTCCCTGGGCTTCACACTAGGGTATATCACAGAGGCATCTGTGCCCATAGAGACCCCTGCCCAGGTACACTCCCAGCTTACCTTATCAATGGATGCCTTGAGGAAGTTGTCCAGCAGGAGGCGGGCTTCAGCCAGGGAGCAGGAGCTGATGACCACGGATGTGTCTGTGGAGTCCAGCTCCTCCTAGGACCGGGAGGCAGAGAGCCCCGTCGCCTGGGGCTGCCCCTGCCACCCACTTCTCCCGCCTCTGCCCCACCAGGCCCAGCCTTGCAGATACCTTGGTCTCCTCTAGCTGCACGATGGTGGCCTGGCAGTCGGTGATGCTATCATTGATGTAGTCAATGTTGGCTGCCAGCACCTCGATCTCCTCGGCCAGCTCCTGTAGCCCCTTCTCTTCCTCGGGGCTCTCAGCCTGCAGCCGCTCCCGCTTCTTCCGCAGTGCCTCCTGCAGGAGGAACAGCTCCTCCCTTTTCTGGGGTCAGAGGGGAGGGCGGTGATTGTGATGAAGGAGAGGCCTCAGGTAGCTGCCTAGCCCTGCTCATAGCTCCCACCACAGGCTGGCCTGTGAGGTCCCCCCAGCACCTCGGGATTCCAGAGCAGGCACAAGGAGCAGAGGGAGGTGGGGCGGGGAAAGGTTTGAAGAGCCAGAGAAGTTGGAGGTGACAGAGGATAGGCAGAGGGGTGGGATGGGAGAGAAGGGGGAGGCAGGGTTCACCTTGATGAGTCGCTCCATGTCAGCCTCCAGGTTGACAATGGTCATTCTCTGCATGACGATGTCGATGATCCGTCGCTCCAGGGACTGCCACTTGAGCCTTGCTGCCTTACTGAAGCTCTGGCTGGCCCCCTTCTTCTGGAACTTCTTTCTAGGAGACATAGGCAAAGGGGATTGGATGGGACTCCTTTTAACCTCTACAGCTCCACTGAACCCCCTACCTGGAGCTGACAGCCACGGGGACCCAGAGCACTCCCAAGAGCTTCCCTCTTCCTCACCCTGGTCCTGCCCCATATTCCCACCCCCTCTGCCCACCAGGCCAGAGGACTGCCAGTCCACCTTACCGGGCAGGCCGGGTGCCATTGACAGTGGGCGCAGGGTGGTCCCCCAAGAAGTGGTTGATTTTGCGGTTCCACTGGCGCACGATGCTGGAGACAGAGCGGGCCCCTGATTCAGCCTCAGATGAGGTAGTGCTGGCCGACACCTCGGCCCCAGAGTCCAGCATGGGTGGCTTTAGTCCTGCCCGCCCTGCCACCCGCTCAGACATGGGCTTGGCCAGGCGCCTCAGTGCAGAAACCTGGGGCAGCAGGGAGAAAAGAGGGAGCCGGTGAGCTGGGTGGCCTGGAGCCACACAGAAGGGCCCAGGTTGGGGTGCCAGGCAGCAGGAACACAGAGGCTGCTCTGTGCTGGACTGGGCTTGGGCTGCAAAAGGGCCAAGGGATCTCTGTTTGATGTGATGTGAACACAAAAGAGGCTGTCACCTTCTTTTTTTTTTAATGCACAGCTCAGGCATCTGGGAATAGGCCTGCAGTCTGCCCTGCAGCCTGAGCTCTTGTTGAGAAAGGCCCTTCTGATAGGCTGGACACAATTTGGACACCAACTACACTTGCTGAATGGAAGTAGGGAGAGCCAGGGCCATAAGCAGGGCTTGCTTCCCCTCCCTGCCAGCTCTGGCAGAACTGGGAAATGCTTCCTTTACTCCACCACGAGGAAGTTGGAGGTCCAAAAGAGAAGGCAAGCAACGCACGCACGCACACTTGCACGCACACATGTGCAGCAGGGCCAAGGCCTCGTCAGCCCCTCCAGTGAGCTCACCTCCTGGGTCTTCCTCCTCAGGACCATCTCCTGCTGCCGCTTCTGGGACTCCAGAGCTCGGATCTGAAACTGTGGGAGACAGAGGAGGGCTGGGCTCCACACTCAGACACCTCAGCCCTCTCTGTGCATAGGCTGGCTAGCTCTGTAGTTGAAAGCCTGGGCTTCAGGGTGATTCTCATGCAGCCAAACTCTTGATAAAGTGGGACCCAGAGTTGAGCTCCCCTCCCCAGAGGTTGCAGTGAAGTCTGCTTTCTCCACAAGGGCAATTTCCTTAGCCTCTTCTTCCCTCCAATGAGGAGGAATCCTGGAGCAGAGGGCTCAGCCCTACTGGGACTTCTCTGCAGGGCCTGAAGCTGCACATTTCCGGCTTGCTGGTCACCTTGAGCAAGTTCTTTCCCCTCTCCAGGGCTCAAGTCCCTCCTCTTAACTAAATGTGGGGGCTGGACCAGAAGCCACAGTGTCTCATCTTTCTCTGACAGGCTGCACTGTCCTCCAAGCACGACCACTACCACTTAGGACAGTGGAGATTAAGGCCTGCTTGGTCAGGAGGGGCAGCCAGGTGCACCAGGAGGCTGGCTAGGGCCAAAGGCTCCTTGGAGGCTCAAGGGCCACCCCTCACCTCCTGTCGTCGCTGCTCCTTCTTGAGCTGTGCGATCTCCCGGTTCCTCTTGGTCTCCACTAGCCGCCGCCGCTGCTGCTCCTCACGCATCTGCTTCATCAGGGCCACCTGGGATGGGCAGAGGTGATGGTGGTGAGACAGGACTGGGAGGCAGGTGGCCCACACTCTCCAGGGAGGGGCCAATTCTGAGGGCATGGAGCAGGGACAGTGGCGAGCCAGACAACCCTGGCTTAGGGCCTCGGGGTCTGAAGTGAGGGGTTCTACCTCCCACTCCTCCATAGGAGCTGAAGCCATCTGGGCAACCTGCCAAAAGGAGTGGCCTCACAGCCAGCCCAGCAGTGCAGGTGCCCCACTCCGCAGGGCCCAACTGTGGCCCTCGCTGCTTGGAATGCCACAGCCCCTGGTGGCCCTTACCCACAGCCACTGTCCTGTGGCCATTCCAGAAACAGTCTGGGTTGCTGGAGGCAGCTAATCCTCTTCCCTACTGAAGGCTGAGCTGCAGACAGGGCTGAGGTGAAGGTCAGGGCCCTCATGGCCAGGCTCATGGTGACAGCAATAAAAACCACCATTATTTACTGAGATCCGGCTATATGCCAGGCACCCTCCTCATGACAATCATGAGAGAGACGTTATCGTTCCTGTTTTATAAACAAGGAAATGAGCCTCAGAGAGACAAAAGGACTTAAAGTCATAAAACTAGTAATAGATGGCCTATTCCGAAAACAAATCATTGCCTTCCAGTCGGCTTTTCCTGCAGCCCCAGGGATGGCTCCATGGTAAGTCAGCAAAGCTAGGGACCAAGCACAGAGAACCTGGACCCCAGAGTTGTTGGAAATGTAGCCAAAGGCACAGAGAGCACCATTAGTGTGGCCGGACGCAACTCTATGTGCTGGGAGGCCACTGACCTGGGGCCCTGTGGCATCTGCCTCCCTATTCCTGGTGCCCAGAACATACAAGTGTAATGTACACAGGGTTTTGGACACCTTCCAAGTGACAGGGGCATGAGAAACACATGACAGTTGATCCTTCCTCTGCCACTGAAGCCTCGGACATCACCAGGAATGTCATCAATCTGCCCTGCCCTCAGAACAGTCAAGAAAGGAAACAGGCCGAGCGCGGTGGCTCACACCTGTAATCCCAGCACTAGCACTTTGGAGGCTAAGGTGGAAGGAATGCTTGATTCTAGGAGTTCAAGATCAGTCTGGGCAACATAGTGAGACTCTGTCTCCACCAAAAATAATACAAAAACTAGCCTGGTATGGTGGTGTGTGCCCATAGTCCCAGCTACTCAGGAGGCTGAGGTAGGAGGATTGCTTAAGCCCAGGAGGTTGAGGCTGCAATGAGCTGTGTTAGCGCCACTGCACTCCAGCCCAGGCAACAGAGCAAGACTCTGCCTTTAAAACAAAACAAAACAAAAGAGAGAGAAAGAAGAAGGAAATGGCATGAGGGAGTGGGTTAATGGCCAGCAGGGTCAGCTTCTCTCTGGGAGGGTGGGAGGACAGGCAGGCTCTGTTGGGGCGAATCTGCAGAGAATAGGAGGGATTGCTTGCTGTTGGGGCTGTGGGGTCCAGAATGAGTGTTCTCCCAAAGGACTAGAAGAACAAGTCAGACCCTTGGCTAAAAGTGGACCTGAAAACTCCAGCATCCCAGGAGCTGTGTGCAAACCCAAGGTGTCAGGTATCTTCTGGGGTCAGGAGCTTAAGGATTCCTGGGGAGGTGCTATGTCTTCCTGGTCAAAGACCCATCCAGCTGACTTTGCATGTGTGGCCAAACTCCATGGTGGCTACCACAGAGGCAAAGGTCTCAGAACAGGTGAGCACATTCCAGGCACACGACAAGCAGAAACAGGCCATGGTACCCGAGACTAGCATCACTCCACAGATTTAAGGTAGAAGGCATTGTGGCCTCTCTCTGAGAGACGTTGTGGCTGCAAGCTCCACCCCAGTTCCATTCTGTGAATCGCTGGGGCCCTGTAGCTGAACAGCCATGGGAGGATTCTGGGGCACTGGCTCTCACAGTGTCTGGTTTGAATCCTTGGCTGCTGCACCCTCTGTCCCTCTGACAGAAAGCCTGGGCCCCTCCTGGGATGACCCAAGGGTGTTCCTCTCAGGTTCTAGCTCTGGGTTCATAAGAGCACGGTCAATGTGGACAGAGCCGGGCACGTGGCTGAAGGAGCTCAGCAATCCAGAGACTGAAACACAGGTCTACACATGAGCCTTCTGTCAGATGCATCTTGGCGTTATATTATTTGCCCGGCTTCAGAGCCATATAAGCATCTTCCCTCATGAGGCTCTCCAGGGCCTCTGCAGCTGAGACGTGAGCTGGCCAGGACAGGATGGGGTATCCTGCAGAGGCACCAGCCGGGAACCCCCAGGGAGACAGAGTAGGGACGCACATAAGCGCACCACAGAAGTGCTCCAGAAGCTGCTGCAGAATGTGCAGGCCCCTGGTGGGAGTGCTGTTCCACCTGAGATAATGAAGGCCCACCAGTCCCTCCCTCTAAACCATTAGCAGGTGCCTGGGGCCCTTGGGTGATCTGGGTACTTGAGTCCACACTTGAGTCTCAACACACCAAAGGGTGAACACACTGAAGGAGATGGTGCAAATGGGGGCTCCTTGGGGCTAGCCCAGGCCATGCAGGTATGAGCACAGCAAGGCGGGGACTTCTCCACTCTGGTCAGGCTAATGAAGCCTCCAGACCTGCAGCCCAGGCTTGGGGACAGAGCCTGCCCAGGTGAGGTGGCTGGGCCTCAATGACAGCTATGGGTCTACCTCTTCTCAGAATCTACATCAGCCACCACTGCATTGCCTCTCTCCTCTGCATACTGAGTCGGCCGGGACGTGTAGCTACCGATGACTCCTAGATGCCCCATCAGCCTCAAGCACCGGGGAGCTCCCCTTCCCTACATCTCTGTCCCCAAGGCCAGCCCTTCACAGCTTGCTGGGGCTGCCACCCGTGCCCAGGGCTTAGCCCAGGGCTGTGGGGATCTGGGCTCTACTGAGGGCTGAGGGTCAGAGCAGGCAGGAATGTAGGGCTTGGAAGGCCCAGAGGGAGCGAGGACTGAAAGGGAGCATGGATCTGCTGAGCCCCAGGCGAGAGCCAGAACACACCAGACACCGGAAACACAAGCCTGAGCCCCGAAGTCAGAAGAGCAGGGGCAGACCCCAGGTCCCAGAGACTAGAGCACTCTGAGTGGTGGCAAAGTAGAAAAGGGAGGCGTTGTGCCACCCGGAACACACAGTGGCTTGGGAGCCAGAGAACTGAGTTCAAATCCCAGTGCTACCTCTTGGAAGCTGGAATTAACTTCTCTGAGCCTCACTTTCTCATATATAAAAGAATAATAATAGACTTCTTTCATGAGGTTCTTCTAAGGACTGAATGTGATCATGCATGTGAGATGACTGGTTTGGAGCCTGGTCATAGTAAATGTTCAAATGATGACAACTGTTACTATCATCATTCAGAGCCAGGTCGCACCAAATGAGAGGCCTCCTGTGCGCTTTGTGCAGATCCGAAGCAAGTGTGCTGCGGCCTCCCCAATAGGAGGCAGCACCGAGTGGGGTCCCCTGAAATCCTCACCTGCCCTGAACCCGACCCTGTGCACCCCAGCATCCCTGCACACTAGCCCCACTATTGGGGCAGGTTGTTTCGCCTTGGATGATGCACTTAGCTAAGAGGACCGTGTCAAGGGTCAAGACAGGGTCAAACTAGGTAATGCTGTGTATGGAGAAGAGAATCCACACTTGAGAGCAATTATTATTTTTACCATGGTGAGTGGATTCTAAGAAGATGTCACATGCACTCCAGGTCCCACTCCTCACACCCTCGACCCCTACCTTGGCCTTCTTCATCTCAGCCACCTCGGCCTGTAGCTTCTTCAGCTCCCTCTCATAGCGCGACTGGTTCTTGAGCAGCCGGGCGTGCTCCTTCTGGGCGGCCTGCAGCTTCTGCAGGTCCCGGTTCATCTCCCGCAGCCTCTTCTCATAGTCTGCCTTGATCTTGTTGGCCTTCTCCTCCGTGTAGCACTCCATGGTGCCTGAGAGCAACAAGAAGCAGCTGTTGGTGCTGAGTCCCTAAGGGCTCCCAGTAAATATAGGGTCATCAAGGGGGAACACAGGAAGCCTCTGTTCCAGTCCCAATGTATGACCTCGGGCAACTCATACCCCTCTCTGAGCCTGTTGCATCATTTGAATGAGGGGTTAAGACTAGTCGATGCCCAAGGCCCCTTCCTGCTCTGACATCCTATTGAAATGGGCAGGGGTGTTTTCATCTTGGATCTCTGAAGCCCTGGTCCCCAGCTTCCCATGAGGGTCCTGTAGCTCACTCATGCTGGCTGGGTTCTGACCCATGATCCAGTGTTGGAGGAAAGAGCTGGGGCCCGTGGGAAGGGGAAGAGTTAGCAAGAGAAGACAGAATGGTGTGGGCCAGGGCAGAAGGAATAAGCTGATTCTCCACTCTTGGCCTCTCCTACCAGAACTACCAACAGACATCTCCAACTTAACAGGTACAAAATCCAACTCCTCATTCCTACCCCTCTCCCATCTCAGTACACAGCATCATGCCCCTTCCAGAAGCTCACACCCTGAGGCATCCTTGGCTCCCCTCTCCCTCACATCCACCTCCCAGCAATCAAAGTCTTCTGGCTCAACCTGCAAAATATATCCAGAATCTGACTTCTCACTACCTCCTAAGCCACCTCTCCTGGGATCTTTAGTAGAACAGTTTCCTAAGTGGTCTCCAGTTTCCACTTTCACTCCCCCCATGCAGCAGCCAGAGTAGTCTTTTAAAAATGCTTTTAAATTTGGTATCATGTAGCTCTCTTGAAATGCCACACATCCCGTCTCCTCAGAGTATAAGGCAACCTCTTTATAATGACATTTCTTCTCCAACCTGTCCCCTCTCACTGTGCTCTAGCCATCCTGGTCCCCTCATCATTCTACCAAAATGTCAGGCACATGGCAGCCTTATGGCCTTGGCATCTCCTGTTCCCTCTGCCTGGGACGCTCTTCCCCTGGTTGGTGCTGCTCTAGCACTATCACCTCCTTCGAGTCTTTGCTCAGTAAAGTCTTCACGACCATCCTTTAAAAAACTTCAATTCGGCCAGGTGGAGTGGCTCATGCCTGTAATCCCAGCACTTTGGGAGGCTGACACAGGCAGATCACAAGGTCAGGAGTTCAAGACCAGCCAGGTCAATATAGTGAAACCCTGTTTCTACTAAAAATACAAAAATTAGCTGGGCATGGTGGTGGGTGCCTGTAGTCCCAGCTACTTGGGAGGCTGAGGCAGGAGAATCGTTTGAACCCGGGAGGCAGAGGTTGCAGTGAGCCAAGATCACGCCACTGCACTCCAGCCTGGGTGACAGAATGAGATTCTGTCTCAAAAAAAAAAAAACAAAACAGAACTCCAACTCACTCTTCAGCAGTTCCTGTTCCCCTTCCTGGCTATACTTATGACCATCTGACACCCTACAGATTCTGTTCTTTCTTTTATGTCTGTCTTTCCCCACTAGAATGTACGCTGCACGAGAGCAGGGATTTTGTCCACTCCAATATCTCTAGCACTAGGACAATGTCTGCTCTATAAGACATATTCAACATGTGTTTGCTGAATGAGCACATCAATGAACGAATAAATAAAAAATGGAATGAATGGGCTGAAGAGCAGCATAATGAAGATAGAATGCAAGAACGTTTACAAACAGGTCCAAAGGAAAAGACCCAAGGAACTGACTGCAGGGGGAAAGGCTGGGAATGTCATGTTCGTGTGCCTAGGTATATAAAGAATTCTAATACGTGACATGATAGCAAACAACGATAACAACAATAACAACAACAACAACAAATCAATTTAGAATGTTTCATAGGAACTAGGGTTAGACGTAAGAACCTTTAACTGTGGGTCAAAGGGCCAAAGTCAAAGGTTGGGAAGTCCCTTGCCTAGAAGGCCAGGATAACCCCAACACGCCAGCTGCTTTTGACAGAGGAGGGGCTCAGGGGAAAGGGAGGGTCCGGATGGGGTGGGGGGGCGTGGCGCTGGCCTCACTGAGGTTCTGCAGCACGCGGTCGCGCTCCAGCTGTGTGTCTCGGATCTTGTTCTGCAGCAGAATCAGCTTTTCCTCATACTGGTGCTTGAGCGTCTGCAGCCGCCGCTGGCTGTTCTCCAGTTCGTCGATCAGCTTCTGCTTGATTTCGATCTCACAAGTCAGGTCGGCCAGGTCCGCCTGGAAGTTCACCTCTATGGGGGCACAGAGAGGCTCAGCCCAGCGTTAGGGTGAGGGGCAAAATGGGGAGCAGATGTGCCAGTCTTGGGGAGCTGGGACCCTCTTTTGGTCAGCCACAACCAATCAGTGACCAGAGAGCAAAAGGATAAATCCCAATGCAGGTAGAATGCGACCAGAAGGAGCAACACATTTAAAAAGAGGCTCCAGAAAGTCAAGGTGGCACTCAGGAGCTGGCAGGGGGGATCTACACGTCCTTCCCAGCCCAGCCATTCCTGAGGCCAGCATCCACCTGTTCCAGATGACGTGGGACCAGCTTGGTGGAGGAGGGTGAGATGGCTGAGAGCACCTTACAGGGCTAGGGCCAGGGCTGGCAGCAGGCAGGGCTGAAAGGGCAGGCATCTCCATTTAGAGGAGAGGGCTTTGGCACCAGTCAGGCCTATGTTCACATTTGCTCTGCATGGACCACACTGGGAAAGGTCACTAAACCCATGTGAGCTTGTTCCTCTGTGGTAATATAGGGAAGCTCACAACACCTATGCATACAGTTGCAGTGAAGACTGAAAGAATCCAGCCGCTCAAAGGGTTAAGGTAAGTACAGTGCCTGGCACCTAATGAACGACCAGGAAGTATTCGCTGTCATTCCCATCATGATGCTGTTGTCATTGGGTTCATGTCTGGGAGTGCTGGGGCCTGGACATCATAATCTTTGAGCAGGGCCCAATCCCACCCTTGGGCACTGGCAGACAGGCATTGCATCCTCCACAGCCCACAGCCCAGGCCCACGCACCCTTCTCCTCAGGGTCTGAGTCTGAGTCCACCAGGCTCTCTTCACTGCCCGAGTCCTCGTCTTCATCCTCTCGCCCTTCTTCCTCCTCACAGCCACTCTCGTCTCGCTCTTCCTCCTCCTGGGCACCAGGCACCATTGGGGTGGGCCTGGCCTCAGAGAGGGGAGCCCAGAGGCAGAGGTGCGTCCCGACACAATGCCTCAGGTGTGTCAGGAGGGTGGGGATTGGGGCAGGCCACAGCTGAGGCCCCCAGCCCACCCCCCACTCCTGGAAGAGCGCCGCCTCCCCTAGCGTCCCCGCAGAACCCCTCTGGGAGGGCCTCCCCACCTGCATCATCCATTTGGGATGAGGTGGGGGCCTAGGGGATGGAGATCACCATGGTAACCAGTCAGAGATATAAGGAAATACAAGGATCAACTGGATGCAGACCCAACCGCCTCCCTAACTCTATACAAGGATGCGATGGGGCCCCCCAACCCCAGCAGGGACACGGGGCACGCATGTGGTGAGGTGGGACAGGCCGTGCTCCTCACCTCCTCGGCCTCGTTCTCATCCGTCTCCTCACTGTTCTCCTGTTGGAGTTTTGCCCTCTTTTTGAAGGCTTCCTTCTCGGGGCTGCTTAGGGAGGACAGGGAGGCTGGATTAGGAAGGCCTCCCCTGCCTTGAGCACACAGGCAGGGTGGCGGCAGCGGCAGGACAGGAGGCCTCTCACCAGAGGGCGGGGAAAACGCTGGCTCATACTCTGCAGAGAGCCCCGCTGCTCTTCCCTAGGGCCACCCAGAGCTGACCTTGGCTCAGCTCAGTCCTTCCTCTCCTTGGGGGAAAGCATATGGCGGGAGAACGTGGGGGAGGGAGGTTGCCCAAAAGGCTGAGCAAATCTGCGCCACGAATCCCCAAGCAATACTGAGGCAGCCCCTGGGGCTGGGGACGTGGAGGTTCCCTCCTAAACAGCTGGTGGGCAGCAGTCCTCCTGGGGGATGGGCAGGGTCCACTGGGGCGATCTGAGGGCTCTCGTGGGCGGGGACGACACTCCACTCACCTCTTCCTGCGCTGCCTGACCTCCTTCTTCTTTAGCCGCTCCAGGTCCTGCTTGGCCCTACGGATCACCTCCGAGGCATCCTCCATGGAGCTGGCTGGGCTGCCCCCGAAGGCCGGGGCGGCTGGAGAGGCACCCAGGGAGTAGGGGCTCCTAGCCGAGGCCCGTGAGAGGCTGCGGCGCAGGGACTCGTTCATGGCTTCACTCTCCAGGAGCTTTGTCCTGCGGGGGAAGAGCGAGTGGGCGGGGCCAAGTGAGCTGCCACCCACTTGGCGTCACCTGGCCGAGGCCCCCATCCCGTGCACACCTGCCCGCGCGGGGCTCACTCACTCACCGCAGCTCTTCGATCTCCCGGATGTAGTTCTGGATCAGTGCGCCAATGGCCTCATTGCCATCGCCTGGAATGGGAAGGTGGGAAGGAGGGTGCGATGAAGAGGATAAATAGGCCGGCGCGGTGGCTCAGGCCTATAATCCCAACACTTTGGGAGGCCAAGGCGGGCGGATCACCTGAGGCCAGGAGTTTGAGACCAGCCTGACCAACATGGAGAAACCCCGTCTCTACTAAAAATACAAAATTAGCCGAGCATGGTGGTACATGCTGCTAAGCCCAGCTACTCGAGACGTTGAGGCAGGAGAATCACTTGAACCCGGGAGGTGGACATTGCGGTGAGCCAAGATCACACCATTGCACTCCAGCCTGGGCAACAAGAGCAACACTCCGTCTCAGGAAAAAAAAAAAAAAAAAAAAAGATAAATAGCAGCGAGGGTCTTCACCGCTGATACTACTGCTCTTATATCTGTTCCTCGAATAGGGTAGCTCATATGGGCCTTTTCCAAAAAGAAATCTATAGAAAAAAATACTTTGCACAGAGGTATACAAGCACTGTTGACCTAAATCCCCATCACTAGAAGGCTATTGTAATAAATTTATTCATCATTGCTACATATGGGACACCATGGCAGAAGATTAAGAGAAGTAGATTTTTTAAAATTTTTATTTTTTGGTTAGAGCCAAGGTCTTGCTCTGTCGCCCAGGCTAGAGTCACAGCTGATTGCAGCCTCAACCTCCTGGGCTCAGTCAATCCTTCCAAGTAACATGAACTACAGGCATGTGCCACCACATCTGGCTAATTTTTGTATTTTTTGTAGAGACTAGGTGTCCCTATGTTGCCCAGGCTGGTCTCAAACTCCTGGGCTCAAGAGATTTTCCTGCCTTGGCCTCCCAAAGTGCTGGGATTATAGGCGTGAACCAGAAGTAGGTTTAATATGGAAAGATTTATAAAACATAATGCTAAATGAAAAAGGGAAGTCTTAGAGCAATATATATAATCTCATACATAGAAAAAGTAGTCTATATCATACACACATTTAAGAATGTATATGAATACACATTCATACTTGAAACAAATACTGAGAAAGGCGTGGGAAAATGCACACCAAGCTGCTCACAGAGGTTCCTTCTGAGAAGTAGAGAGGGCTTGGGGTGGAGGGTTCAGGGACAGGTGATTTTAATCTTTCGCTTCATATAGTGATGTATTGTTTGCATGTTGAACAAGAAGGATGTGTTCATGTATTGCTTGTGCCATACAAAAATGTTTTAAAATCAAGTGAAAAAAAATGCATAAATGAGTTGAACTGTGAATTGACTGGCTGGCTTAGTCTACCTGATACTCTGGGGTGGGTGTGGAGAGATGGGTTCCTAGCCTGTTGGTGCTCTGACATGACCTGGCACGGCCCAACTCACCAGCCTTGGCTAGCAGCAGGTTGGCCTCCTGGCTCATGAGCTGGGTGACGCGGTTATTGATGGCGTCGATGGCCTCCTGCATGGCTTTCACCCGCAGCCGCAGGGCCGCATTCTCCTTCTGTAGCATGGCATTCTCCCGGAACAGGTCGCTATAGCCCTCAGCGCCATCCTCTCCTATCACTCGCTTGCCCTGGGAGCAGGGGCAAAGGGGAGCAGTCAGGCGGCACAGCTCACAGGTGGGGGAAGGGGTTGATGGTGCCCCTCCCTCTGCCAGTGCCCTGGCCTTCCCCTGTATATGGCAGCATCACCAGTCTTCCCTGCCCCAGGTTTCCTAAAACACAGCTGCTGATCCCCAACGTGCCAAAATCTTACACAGTTCTCCTTGACAATAAAAAGTCCAAATTTTGTAACCAGCCACTCAAGGCCTCTCACAATCTTACTTGACCTAACTTTCCACAGTGTATTTTCATATCTCCATAAACTCAAGTCCAAGGGTCAAAACCCTCTCTGCCAGGCAGTTGGCATAAATGAGTCAGGCTGGTTGTAAGACAATAGGGAGTGGTAGAGACTGGAGCTAAGAGAGTCCCAGACTTAGTCTAAAAGGGGCAGTCCCTATGCCTCTCCAGTCAACATAGTACCATAAGTTGTTAGATCTTTAAAATTTTTAGCAAAACTGAAACTCCCTGACTTTCAGAAAGGTTGACAACTAAGCTGTATTCTTTTAAAACAAGTGCAAGCCAAACCAAAACTCATCTGTGTGCCAGATTCAGGCCATGGGCTACCAATTGGTGACTTCTGTCTCAGTCACATAGAATTAGACATTTCCCCCAAAGGACCCATTTTTTCCCACTCTGTTCCTTTGTGCATGGCTTGTTCTTTACCTAGAATGGCTGCCCCATCTCATTTTGCTGTTACCTCATTCATTCTTCAAAATCCATATAAAAGACCCCTTTTTCCATGGGTCCTCTCTGACCATCCAAGCAAGTAAGGCCAACTCTCTCCTCTGCCCCTCTGCAGCACACTGGATACTCCTGTGGGCCCCTCTATCAGTGATTCTGTGCCAGTCTAGCAGTCTTATCTGTTCCAACACAACACATTCGGCAGACATGAAAACACCCTGGAGAGTGTCTGCCCTGTGCATAAGATCTATGCAACAAAAGCCGGGGAGCCCTGCTTTCTTGGACTTAGTATTCTAAAATCTTGAGGGCTCAGACTGTGCTTGATTCACCTGGGTGAGTCCCTAACAGTGAGCATCATGCCTGGCACACAACTGATGCTCAACAGTCATGTCCAAAGTGGATGGTGGGTGATAGGGAGGTGGGAGGGATGCTGAGGAAGTTAGGATGAGGCTGCAGGGCAGAGGGTGCATATGGAGCACCAGCTCCAAGCAGGGGTGCTGGGCAATGCCCAGAAGCATGCTTACCGCCTTATACTCCATCAGCTCCATCTGCAGCCGAGCAATCTCAGCCCGCAGTGCGCTGATTTGCTGGCTGGTCTTGTCCTGGTTCACTACCACCTTGTTCTTGATGTTGCGGGCTCGATTGGCATATTTGAGGGTGTTGAGGGTCTCCATGAAGTCTCGGTCTGAGGGGCTCACACAGGCGATCATGATGGTCTGGCTGGGGGTGCAGAAAGGCTGGTGTGAGGATGAGGGACACGGCTAGCCCCCAAAAGCACTGCCTCAGGGCAGAGGTCCTGCTCCCATCCCTTTCCCCCACTACCTTAATGCCCAAAGCATGTGGGCATTCAGGACAGAACCTGGGATGTGGGGATCTGGACCACTTGGCCAGGAGTTTTCACTGCAACAGCAGGTAACCATAGTAAAGGTGGCTACCAAGGCTGGGGAGGTGGTGATGCATAATTGCCAGAGTCCTTTGCTTGGTGATGAGAATGAGTCACAGCCCTGAATTTTCTAGCATTTCTCATCTATCATCTTGCCTGGGTCATATGACTTCCCCGAGAATATCTCTCCCTGTTTTACTGATAAGGAAACTGAGTCTGACCATAGCTGCCTAAAGGTCATAAAGCACCTCAAGGTTCCTACCTCCTAAACCTGCAGCCTAGGATGGGAAGGCCTTCTCCTCCTGGGGCAGGCTTGCGCCATACCCACACGGCACTATTTTCCAGGAACCTCCCTGCCTCCCCTGTCCCTTCCCTGGGTGTTGGTCACCAGATACCTGTTGCCCCCCAGCGAATCCTGGAGGAGCCGAGTGAGCTTGGAGTCCCTGTAGGGGACGTGCACCACCTTCTTGCTCTGGTCCCCTAAGGCGCTGATCACATTGCCCAAGGCCAGCTGTGGGAGACAGACCCTGGCACTCAAGAGTCACTCAGGGAGAGAAGGGTAGGGAGGGACAAGAAAATCCCCAAACCATCTGTACCTGCCTCTCTGGCCCCAGCAGCCCTTTTGCTCCCTGGGTGGGTTTATAGGCAGATGGATAAACTGGTGAAACGGGGAAGTTGGGGGCAGGGCTGAGGCCTGAGAGTGAAGGGCTAACTGGCAAGATGTCCAAGGAGGACTCAGCAGGCGTGGGACTGCAGGGCCTTGGAGGGGTCTGAGACTGAGCTGTGTGGGTGCTGGGGCTGATGACCCGCCAGGTGCCTACCAGGCCACAATTGATGGAGATGCCCTCCTTGGCCCGCTCGCCAGTAGCCCCTGTCCGCTTCAGCCGCTCTGAGCCGGCCAGGTCCACAAAGTGAAACTTAGCGGTGAGTGTCTCATACTCATTCGAGGGAGGTGTACCATCAGGAAGCCCAGTCACCGCCTCATTCACCTGCAACAAGAAGTAGCTCTTGACTCACCCAGCCCTCGCCTACCTCACTGGCTCCCTGCTCACAGTATGCGCCGTCCAGCGAAAGAAGGCAAGGGCGGACGGCAAATAACCTTGCCCCTTTCCGCACATGCAGACATCTGACCCAACGTGTAGAGTACCTTGCTCAAGCCTTGATTTCCATTTTAATTCACAACACATGATGAAGAGATCATTAAACCGATTAACAAATCGAGGCAACTGAGGCTCAAGAAAAATATAAAAGTCAAACAAATGGCAGGGGGCAGGCCTCATCTTGGTTTGTGTCTCTGAATTGTGGGCTTCACCTTGCCCTTCCTGGGATACCCTGTAGCAAGCTGGCTCCTGGGCCCCTGCAGGTCTCACCAGGTCTGGCTGGGTGCACATGCGCATCTGGCCACAGGGAGGTAAAGATGGCATGGGGAGCGGAGCTCTGCAGTTCATCTGGGTGCTGGGCTGCTGGTGCGGGACAGGGCCCCTGCTTCGGCACTGGATCAGTGGAAACACGAAGCAGGAAGTGAGGGCTCGGGAATTATGGGTGGTGCCAGCTGCTTTAGAGCTGGCCTGCTCCAGAATGCAATCTACTCCTCCTGGGAGTG